AAGAGACTGCCAAAAAGGGTCCAATAAGATGGATCGAAATTTGGTTATTAGCATGTCATCCGAAGGTGCAAGCGAACAGGATGAGAACCTGGCACTGGAGGACGATGCTGATCAGTCAATGGGTGACGGTGCGATGGTAGTTCTGGTGTATGATCCAAGGACGCTGATTCAGTCGCCTACAACTGATTGGGTTATGCGTCGTGGTCTGACCGATCGTTCCGTCTGGCCAGCAATGGCGTACACAGCACAGAGAATATGTGCTGAAATGGTTCAAGTGGATGAACTGAATGCCCAGTTGAATACTGGGAGACTCCTTTTTGAAAGGAGAGATCAAGGATATTATTGTGATTTGCATCATTCGTTCCATAACAATCCGTGCTTGCCGGTGGTGGGAAATTATCCTCTTTCGGTGATGGGTGCACTGCTTTCTCCTGGCCTGGAAAAGGAATTCAGAAATACTGAAAAGTTTGGAACTGCTATGGAGGCAATAGCCTATGATTGGAGTCGCAGTCCAGGCATGGAAGTTCATGTGGAACTTATGGCAAGGGTAGCCAATCTGGTCGCTCCATTCCTTAGACTTGGAGGCCAAGGGACAGTGGTGAATTCCGAATTTCTCTGGCAGCACGGGAGGGACCAAATGATGGAGTTCCTTCAGGCGGCGACTTGCGCTGATCAATTGGAGGTTCTCTGGAGAAGAATGGACGACGATGCTGATGAGGAAGTGGATCCTACAGGAATGGTGCTGGAGATCCCCGATCAACAAGATGCGGTACTAGATCAAGGGAACAATGAATCCCTTATTCCCATTGAAGATGCTGGAGGTGAGACACTTGGTGACACTGGAAGGGATGGCAAAGCGCCAGAAGTCTCTCCGGAAGAGGAGACATCCAGTGGGTCGTCAAGACTGGCGGGCACAAGGATTTTCTTGTGGTCAGTGTACTCTCGCGTTGCTTCCAATTTCTCTATGCAGGACCGCACTACTGGTAAGATCTTTGACAGCACAAAAGGGTATCCTGGTGAAGGACCAAGCAATGATGACAATCCTTCCTCTAAGAGGAACTTACCCTGGATCTCGGAAGACTACCTCGACGAAGTGGTGTCAAAAAAGATGGAAAGGTCTTCAGATATGGATGGGTTTGTTCCGGGAAGTGAGGGACCATTGGAAAAGGCAGAGGTGGAGAATGTTACTGCCTCTAAAATTCTTATGGCTCTTTGGAAGAAGGGACATAGAGTTGGTTATAGGAGGTTGTGTCGTTCGAACGCATCTGGATGCAAGGTTGGAGCAATGAAACGTCCAATCAAAAGAGTGCAGAAGATTGGCACTAGCAAGGCCTTCACGAAGATGTTCAATGTTTTTGGATCGTCTCAGCATGGCTCAGGAGTTGGCGGAAAACCAATCATGAAGGTGGTAGGACCAAGGCCAGGTTTTCCAGCTGTACTCCAAGCACCAACTACTGATAGCACGTCGGGTGAAGGGAGCAGTCCCCAGGTACATGGCAATGTTCATGTAGAGCACAATCGCCCTATGGACCGGTATGAGGCAGAGCGCTTGGAGAAGAGGAAGAAGGGCTTCTGCTACTGGTTCGGCAAGGGGAAAGATCGCTGCAAATTTGGTGACGACTGCAAATTCATCCATTCCGAAGATGATGTGGTGCTACATTCATATTGGTGCAAATACTACGTGGCAGGGAGAGAATGCTTCGCTGGAAAGGATTGTGAGTTCTCGCATGATGCAACTGGTGTGAGGTGCATCCAGTTTGCTCGGTCTGGGAAGTGTCGGTTTGGTGACAGGTGTGTCTTCGAGCATGGTGTTCCGCTGGAAGAACAGAGGCCAAGGTCTCCAAGGACGCCCCCAAGGGATGGTCCAAGGAGAAGTTCTGGTGCAAATGGTGGTGAAAAGGAGATCTCTCCTGAACAGTTCGATGATGGCGAGGAGGATTTTATGGGTTATGACGATGATACCAAAATGACGGAACTGTTGATGGAGGCGATTTCATTTTTGTCCAATGGCAAGCCAGATTTGGCTCGAGCAGAGGCGGACCCATTGTTCAAACTCCTGAAGTTCGCTGGAGATACTGACCAAATGGATCAGGTATGGGTTTCGTGGACCACTGGTATGTTGACCGTGCTGGAACTTCTCGAAGTAGTGAAGTTTTATGAGATTTCGCTCACGGAGGTGGAAGAATGGGTCAATGACCTGAGGATATGGTACGAGCGAGCCAATTTGGGAGAAGAAAAGGATTCCAAAAGAGGCAAAAAGAGGTCCCTAGAAAGGGAGTCCAGCAAGGATATTCCTGCCGAAAAAGAAGTGGTTGAGACTTCGGAGACGGAGGTTGCCGTTGAGGAGGAGAAGAAAAAGGTAAGAAAGAAGAGGAAAGCTGCAGCTATCGAAGATCCTTACACTCTCATGGTTCCAAAGCCGAAGAAGATGCCGGCGATCATTGAGAAGGGTGGATCATCATCCAATGTGGTGGTTTCTGCAGTGGAAAAAGCCTCGAAAGTGCGCACAAAGTCAAATGTCGGTGGAAAGACAAAGAAGAAGGAGAAAAGTCAGAGTCCCAAAAAAGAAGAGGTGGTAATGGTGCAAGATCCTGAGGAAAAGGATCGTCCATCTGATGCGGATGCACCAGGGTCTGCCACTGCGAATGCAGAGCTGAGTCAATCTTGCCAGGCGATTGAGGACGCAAAGAGAGAAGGATTGGTATCCTCAATTCAAAGGGGCGTACAGGATCCTGTTCTTACAGTTTCGGACCTGGAGTATATTCTGCTGCAACTTCACCTCAAGATTGCCAACAATCGGAAAAAGAAGTGATTGGATGGTGCGGATGAAGGGATGGTTTTTCTCTTTCTGGAGACAGGTGCGCTGGAACAGCCAATGCGCTGACAAATGTGGTGGTTACTATTAAGGGTATGGAAATCCCTGATAGTAGAAGTCAGTAGCTTTTCGCGTAGCGAAGACCACGGTTTGTGGTGAAGAAGGCCAAGGAGTCTTCAGTGATGAGAGGATCATGGTGAAAAGAGATTCTCTGTGGGTAGTAGGTTAGCCAATGTGCTATAATTCCGTCCTGGAAGACGTTAAACCATAACATGCATTTCAAGCAGCTGGCTGCTGCCTTAATGGCAGTTTTTGGCCAAAAGATCTGCACCTCCAATGTGTCCTAGGAAATCCTAGGACAGGGGGAGTGCGGAGCTGCAATTGGTATTGTAGAAAGGAGTTCGTGTTGGGGTTGGATGGGTCAATGAACCCGGAAATCATATTTGGCTCAAGGCTCAAGATGGCCGAGAGCCGTCAGCTTTTGTTGAAAAAGTACGTACGCTTGGGGTTGGGTTTAACGGGTTGGAGTAGTCCCGTCCCTTCTCCCTTATCTTGTCCCCTTAGGGTTGGGTGTTCTTGTTTCTGGTTCGATCTAGGAAATCTATATAGGCGACTGTTGAGGGTTGGTTTCTTTCCCTGTTCCCTTTCGGTTGCCCCCGTAGGTTTAGGGTTTAGGGTTTAGGGTTTCGGGTTTAGGGTTTAGGGTTTAGGGTTTAGGGTGTAGGGTGTAGGGTGTAGGGTGTAGGGTTTAGGGTGTAGGGTTTAGGGTTTAGGGATATCGGGAGTGCCGACAGCTGGGCCCGCGTCCTCATGTTTGTTTTGAGAAACCCTCAGGGCCGAAGCCCCTAAGAAAAAAAACCAGCCCACAACCTGGGCCGGGGGAAGGTTTAGGGTTTAGGGTTTGGGGTTTAGGGTTTAGGGTTTAGGGTTTAGGGCTCAACCCGCACCCGAGTTTACTCAGGGCTGCCCGAACCCCAATGCCTAAACCCTAAACCCTACCAACACGACATCCCACCCCGGAACCAAGGCTTCTCATCAACTCCTCTGTGGCAGCATATGCCCCGACAGAGCAGGTATGCATGTGTATGCCGTATCTACGAAAGCGTAGAGCTTCGGAGTAGCGCGGTAAGGGCGTCTGATGCGAAGATTCTCACAAGGTAGGTGGTTTAGGGTTTAGGGTTTAGGGTTTGGGGTTTAGGGTTTAGGGTTTAGGATTTAGGGTTTTGTGCCACATCGAAACTTCGCCCCCGAGCTTTGCTTTCATGCACTCCGGCAAAGGAAGAGACGGCCATGAGTGCTGCAAGTGGTGCCAGGATGCGCCAGGGTCTCTCTAACCCTGCAAGCCCCGCCCCTTGGCGTAGAGCTGAGGCACAGTCAAAACGATTCCAGAAACCCTACAGAAAATCCGGAACCCCAGATTCTTCAAGTCTCAGTTACAGTCAGTTACGGAACATCCAGAAACCCTAGACTCTTCAAGTTTCAAGAGAAAATCGATCCCGTAAGCTCGATGGGCGCAGGCGATGGCCAGGCGGGGGAGGTTCCCGCTCCATTTTCCAAGCATTCTGAAGGTTCAGGGGAGGGGTCATCTCTGCTTGAAGAGGATGTTGAATGACGAGAGTTGGCCTGGGTGCTTCTGGGAAAGAGGCCACTGAAGGACTTTCTTAGGCACCCAGTAGCTCGAGTAGCTCGAAGCCCTAAACCCTATAAAACCCTACGAGCTCCATTCTAGGGCCGTAACACCCTGAACTACAGATCCCAAAGACATGTGCAATGTGTCTTGCATGTGTAGCTTGGATTTGGGAGTTGATGCTGCAGACTCGAGTCGAGGCTAGTTTCTTCTTGGGGTTTAGGGTTCGAAGTTCGAAGAGTAGAAATATTACGACGAAGTGCATGGCAGTCGCGGAGGTTTGATTAGGGTCCTAGACCCTAAGCCCTAAAAAACGGTTTACAGCTCATGAGAGATCTAGGGCAACGTACAAGTATCAGGCAATCTTTTTTTCTCCTGGGACTGAAAAGTTGAGAGCCTCCCAACTTTCAAACGCCCTTTAGGGTTTAGGGTTTAGGGTTTAGGGTTTAGGGTTTAGGGTTTAGGGTTTAGGTTTTAGGGTTTCCGGACCTGCGACTCTCCAAGATGTGCTCGGACGGCTGCGCAGCCTTCATCAGCTTCTCAGATGCTCGACGCTTGCTACGCTTCGTGCGCGGCCGAGGTGGTGCGGAACGTGCCTTGGGCCCAGGGTCGGCTTGCAAGTGTGCAGCAGGGTTTAGGGTTTAGGGTTTAGGGTTTAGGGTTTAGGGCTTAGGGTTTAACATTCAACAGTTTTGGCCTTCGCGCGTGCTGTTGTCCAAAAAGATCCAAGACTACCTCCACCCTCACCCGAAGTCGGGCCTCAACAAGGAAACTGTTGGATCTTATTTCGGGCTTGTTCTTGGGTTTAGGGTTTAGGGTTTAGGGTTTAGGGTTTAGGGTTTAGGGTTTAGGGTTTAGGGTTTAGGGTTTAGGGTTTAGGGTTTAGGGTTTAGGGTTTAGGGTTTAGGGTTTAGGGTTTAGGGTTTAGGGTTTCCTTGCATTTTTTATGTTCCTCCATGTGTACTATGCGTAAAGAAAGGTCCTTTAACGTTCAGGGTTTGATTGAAAGGGCCGGTTTGGGTGGTATGTATATATGATACAGTCTGTAAGGGTCAGATTTCAGGGTTGGACTGGAGTTGAGGATCTAAACCACACCCTACACCCACTGTAAAGGGGAGAAACCACCTTCACTCCAAGCCCGTCAGAAATCAATCCCTCGCCACTTCTCAGCCCAAGCCCCGAAACTCAAGGGGACCAAACTCCTCGAATCCTAAGCTCGACGAAACAGCTGAAAGCTTGAAGGGCTTGAGGAGGTGTACTGTTATGAGGAAGCTCGATCAAATTGGGGTTCCTTTTCTTTAGGGGGGCCCCCTACAGAACATGGCGGCCATAGAATCAGGGCCGCAAAACAGGATGCTGAACCCAAAGCCCTAAACCGCGGGGTGTAGGGCTTGGGAAAAGCCTATATGAAAACACCCTCCCAACCGGGATCTTCTTGAATCGGGTTGATAGGGCTCAGTGCCCCACCCACCCACAACCACACCCCCCCCCCCCCCCCCCCCAAAGCCGCCACAAAACTTCATCTAAAACCCTAAACCCTAAACCCAACAGTGGCTGAGGAAGCGGCCGAGCAAGCCGCCCAAGAAGCCCTGGCGGTCGAAGAGATCCGGATTTGCCTTCCTGGGGGCTGCGGAGTCAGGTCGCGACCCTGAACTTGGGATGTTCACCCTTTTACTTAGGGTTTAGGGTTTAGGGTTTAGGGTTTAGGGTTTAGGGTTTAGGGTTTAGGGTTTAGCGTTTAGGGTTCAGGGTTTAGGGTTTAGCGTTTAGGGTCAGTTCTGAATAGGGATTCTAATCGGGGGTCCTATAATCCCTATTAGGGACTGTTAGTGTTGGGGGGGGGAACATCCCAACCCTGAACCCTAAAACCATGTCACCATGTCACAGCGAAGATAAGGGTCATCCAAGACCAAATCGCAATGAAGGTCAGCTGGGCACTGAAGGCGCATTTCTGCTGCAGGCTGACCTTGAAGCTTAAAATTTCGCAAGTCAAGGGGTTGTTCCAAAGCTGTACACTTCGGATTGGGGACCCTTTTAGGGCAGGCAGGGGCCACGTTAGAAGAATATCATTCAGGAAGCCCCATGAACCAAAGCCCTTGCAAAATGCCTTGTCTGAAGCTCTAAGCATCAGATTCTGCATCTGTCAAGGTTGGTACCAGGCCGGTCTTCAGGCGCAGCCGAGACACATGGTCGCCAAAAGTGGCGGTGCTCACTATCACGATCATGGCATCCTGCCGCGTCGCATCGCTTTTTTAGGCTCAGCGGGCTGTGGACCGCGGATTGCGGAGTTTTAGGGCAACTGTCGGAAGGCTCAAGAGCCAGACTACACCGCTACAGTACAGGACCCCGCCTGCAACACTCTTCTGAGAGAAAGCTCCGTGCGAGCTTAGGGTGCTGAGCTCAAGAGTTTCGTGCTGCTTTGGGCTCTGTCGAGCTGACCACATCGCACTACAGCGACACACTACGGGCACAGGCGTCAACGGTCTGAAGTTCTCCTTCCTGCACACTCATGTCTAAGACCTGCCCAACGACATTCAGACTGGGTTTAGGCTTTTTCGGGTAGCTCAACAACAGGTTTCTGCTTTAAGCAGTCTGCATCGCTCGAGGTCCTTGAGTGGAACATTTCACTGGGTGTCGCGTGCGGACGAGATGCGTAGGGTTTAGGGTTCAGGGTTCAGGGTTCAGGGTTTAGGGTTCAGGGTTCAGGGTTCAGGGTTTAGGGTTTAGGGTTTAGGGTTTAGGGTTTAGGGTTTAGGGTTTAGGGTGTAAAAAAACGCCCAAAAGCCGAACCTAGGCTCCAAGAAGTCCTTCACCAGGTTGGTCAAGAGGAATGCCAGCGGAGAGCCATGCTTCCTCGGGCCCAAGAAGCTTGATGGGATCGATATGAAGCAGGGTTTAGGGTTTAGGGTTTAGGGTTTAAGGTTTTTTGCCACCCACCAAGCAGTCCAGCCGCACCGCAGGTTTAGGGTTTAGGGTCTAGGGTTTAGGGTTTAGGGTTCAGGGTTTAGGGTTTAGGGTTTAGGCCCCAAAAGGACACCCGGTACATACACTCACCAATATGAAAAAGGAACGTTATATACACTCACCAAAAGCGGTGATATAAACCCTACTTCATATGGGCAAGCGTTGGAAGGGTCCACTTAAGTAAATGCATCAAGAGAGGGAGAGGCACTGCTTGATTCAACAAAGAGCCACAAACTTGAACTACATGTTTTTTGATCCTGCAGGGGGTGTGGGTGGGCGCTTGAGCCCAGATGGACTCCGCTAGCGACAACTGCTGCCTGGCGGCAGGTAGTTCGCGATGACCAGATTCAGCGCAAAGGCGCACAGCACGTTGCCTGATTCACTGCGTTGCAGGGCATACGGAAGCAAAGTGGCACAATGCATGAGAAGCTGTGCAAGATGTGCCCTGAACCCTGTAGTCAAGCTCGGAATCCCTAGGTGCCTGCCAGAAGGAAGCTGCAAGCGTGGAGAGTGTCCCAAGCAGGCATCGCAATCCATGACAGCGCGTGAACCTTGATCTCGGGGTTAGAAGCGTGCAGCACGAGGGTTGGATTTTCTTAGGACCAAATGAACCCAAATTTGGGGTCATGTACCCTATATAGCTGTAATCCGTAGTATTGACTTGTGGACCATAAGCCCTTTAGGGTTCGTTTCATCCCCTTTTCAACCACCTCCGAAACAACATCGCAGTCGACCAGGGTGCATCATCGACTCGGACTCATACGGGCTCAAGAAGCCCCGAACCCCATGCCCTTTGGGTTTTTGGGTTTAGGGTTTAGGCCCTCGAACCACCATGCCAAGAGGCGCGTGGCTGCAGGAGGAGGATGCCTCTCCCACCCCGAACCCCATCTACCGTGACAGCTATGATTGTACCCAATGGCGGGCAGCCACAACAGATATAAGGAGTATAGGGTGTCCGCTGGATCGGGTGCTATTGGTGCGCGACACGCTTTCAACAAAGTTCGGACCGCGGAGCATTGCATCTGCGTGCCTTGCTGAAACTTCTCTATCCAAATATGAAAGCTGATAGATTTTCGTCCCCAAAAATGTAAGCTCGAAACCGGCAACTCAAAGCTTTAAGGGCTATGCCGTAGATTGCAGAAGGAGAATTTAGGGTGTTAGGGTCTATAAAAACCCTAACAGGGTTGAAGAATTTTTCCTTGAGGGTCGTGGGGACAGCTGGGAACCAATCACGAAGCTCAACCCTAAACCCTAAACCATAAACCCCAAACCCTAAACCCCAAACCCCAAACCCTAAACCCTAAACCCTAAACCCACCCCCCAGCACCTCCGAGGCAGCAGGCGCACATGGGCGACACCAGCGCCACGAAAGACAAGGGGTCCAGCTTCCGGCCCGCACCTCGAAAGAAGGGGTTTCGGGTTTAGGGTTTAGGGTTTAGGGCTTAGCACCAAAGTGCCCTTTTGCAGGTCTCCTCACCACTGGAATAGACAAAGCAATAAATATAAATATAAATATAAATATAAATATAAATAGAGAGAGAGAGAGAGCACAGTGCCCTAAACCCTAAACCCTACACCCTAAACCCTCAACCCTAACCCATAATTGAGTGACATGATGTTCGTGGGCCTATGATACTGGAGGGTGTTTCTACCAATGAAGAGGGGCAATGGCCCATGTATCCGACTAGGGATTCTGGCCATCTCGGGGTTCATTTGGTAGTTGGTAGTTTAGGGTTTAGGGTTTAGGGTTTAGGGTTTAGGGTTTAGGGTTTAGGGTTTAGGGTTTAGGGTTTAGGGTTCAGGCCTACGATCAGCAGCTGGACGTGAGACAGCGCATGCGCACTGTTTCCACCACGAACTGAGGGCAACGGAGGGGAAGAAGCCCGAACGCCCTAAAGCCCTAGACCCAAAACTTCAATCCTAAAACCCTACACCCTACACCATCGACCCCAATTAAAAACCCTAAACTCTGAACTTTAAACCTGTCAAACTGTAAAACCTTAAAACCCCAAACCTGCCTAAGAATCCGGGGTTCGAATACCATATACCGGTTTTGGGTTCTTAAGGTCAGACCTAGCCAGACTCAGGAGTAGCCTAGGAATAAAAGGCAGCCCGTTTTCGATTTCAAGGGGCTGCAAAAGGGAACCTCAACCCTAAAAAACCAGGAATAAGGGCCGACTCCGGGGTCCTAGCCCTTTTGCATAAACCCTAAACCCTAAACCCTAAACCCTAAACCCCAAACCCTAAACCCTAGCCCTGAACCCTAAACCCTAGCCCTAAACCCGAAACCCAACCCTAAACCCTGTTCCACCTGGAATAAGGGGGTTACCCTGGGCAAGCCTTAAAACCCGGGCACCACAACTGAGGCTAAGCTCATGACCCGCCAGAAGGACGCCTCGGCAATTTGGGCATGGTTTAGGGTTTCGTAGGGTTTAGGGCTTAGGGTTTAGGGTTCAGGGTTTAGGGTTTAGGGCTTAGGGTTTAGGGCTTAGGGTGTATAGGGTTTAGGGTGCGGAGCTGCAACTGGTATTGTAGAAAGAAGTTAGTGTTGGAAGTTGAAAGGGTTAATAAACCCGGAAATCATTTCTTGGCTCAAGACTGGGCCATGTGCCTGGTAGTAAAAGGTGAGTGCCCTGTGGTTTGGGTTTGTTGTGTGGTTGATCCAGGGAAATCAAGGGATTCTGTTGGGGTTGACTTTTCGGTTTCTCGTCCCCCTTCGGGTTCCCCCCGTAGGTTATGAGCCCAAATTAGGTTCCCGTCAAAAGGTCTGCAACGGGTGAAAAAGTCGTTCCCAATGAGGAAGCTCTGGTTGATGTTGGTGGTATGCGTGGCGAAGAGAAGCCGGTGGTGGAAGGACTGGAAGACCAGATGGAAGCAGTTTTGCTGCGCCTTCTGAGCAAACATGGGCATCTTCTTCGAGCTGCGGAATCTGCTGAATCAACGGGAGCGCCAATAACAAGCTCCTCTACGTCAAAGATGGTGGAGCAAGGGTGCCAGACAGAACTGGTTGGGGATGTTATCCCTGTTTCCAAGCGAGCTCGCAACAAGGTGAGTTTCGCGGCTGAAAGTGGTGATCTGTTGACAGGTGAAGTGGAAGAAACTGCGCCTGTTGCTGCGACAAAAAGCAGTACCCTCGTGGTTGGGGACGCAGAAGGAGTCGTTCCTGTTGCTATGGTGATGAGCGAAGGAGAAATCCTGGAATTGGAGGCAGCAAGAATACAGCAAGAGTCAGACGAGGACTTATACGCTGGTGGTGGAGGCAAAGCGTCTCAGGCTGCTGACCTTCCAATCGTCGACTGCGATGGGAAGACATGGGAACGCCATTTTCACGAGGATGGGAGAGAATATTTTTACTGCTTGGACACGGGTGATACCCAATGGGTGTTGCCTAAGAAGACTGGAATGGCTGGAAATAGCGAGGGGCCAGGTGTTGGAATGGGCATTGTCCCTGTGGAAGATGAGCCAACGCTGGGTGCTACCTCGTCTCCATCATCTACTGAGTCTTCTAGGGCACAGCAGGGTAGCATGGAAAGTGTGAACAGCGGTGTAAATAGTGTAAGTGAAAAGGATTTTTCCTCTACTATCGGGGATAGCGGTCCTAGGGGTGGTGGTGACGCCCCGACCTCGGGTTCTCCTGATGAAGAGGGGATTTCTGGAAACCGAGCAGACATCGCTGAAGCTCAACATCTGGATCGGGAAGAAATGGGGATGCTTTCTGAGGGTGTGGCAGCGGTGGAATCGGTGGGTCCAGAAGAAAAAATGCCCAATGTGGAGATCGGAATTGTGTCGGCTACAGAAGAGCGAGTGGTGGATGTGGTGCCTGTCGTTCAGGAAGATGGCCCTGGAGATTTGGATGACGAAGAGAAAAAGTTGTGCATTACGACTGAGGAGGTCTCTTCGTTTGGTGCCGAGAATTCTGCCATTCAAAGGGAAAAGGAAACTTCTGAAACTGCTGGAGACACGGTTGATAAGAAAGATGAGGCCTGGAGCGCCAATGAAGCGCGGGTCGATGCGCCAGATAGTACCTGGAGTGCGAATGAGGCACGGGTTGAGGTGCATATGGTGGTACGTTCCACGGGCGACTGCAACAATGGGGCGCAGGTCTCCGCAGCAGCTGATGATGGAGGTTCACAGGTGGACGCACTGGTGCAACCTGAAGTTAGCCGCGAGGAACGAAATGACAAGGACTACACCGGAGCCAATGAGGCAGCTGTGGTCAATGATGGTGGCAATTCTCCTTTGGAAACCATGGAACCAAAGGAGCCTGCGGTGGAAGAAAGTGTGCCTGCCGTGGATGATCAACTCAATCGCCCTGCAGCGGAAGAAAATTTGCCTGCTGCAGAAGGTGTGACAAAGGACACCAATGAAGGGTCCACTCCCATGAAGGGAGAAGCGTTGCCGTCTGGAAGTTCACCGGAAGTCGACACCGAGCGAACTGAAGCAGATGAGGCAAAGCCTTTGGCAGAGAAAAAGGGAAGTCCTGAAATCCAAGAGCACAAAAAAGATGAGCTTGTGGGACTCGTGGAACAGGACGAGCAGTGTGACCCAAAGGTGAAGACAAAGGATGCGCCAGGAGCCGATGATACAGAGATGGTTTCTGAAGAGCATGCAAAGAAAGTGCCCCGAGCGGGAGCCTTGGAATCACCTGGGACACATTGCTATGAAGAGGGAGATAAGATCACTGGTTTAGTGCGCTGCATCAATGGGTATGGAGCTTTTTTGGACTATGGTGATCTAAATGTATTGATTCCTGCAGAAGGGAACAATGTACATCAGTTCCAATTTGGTGATACTGTCAATGGAACAGTGAAACGAGTGGAAGATGATGGTACCATAATCTTGGACACCTTTCTGGTTTTGGAAGAGGACGAGGAGGATTCCTCTTCAAAGCTGCGCAAATGGAAGGACAGCAGCTGGGGTACATGGTGGACAGGCTCATGGCAGACTGGTCAATGGTACAAAGGTTCTGATGGTCAATGGGACTGGAAGTCAGAGGAACCGCAGTCTCGTGAGTGGTTCGCCGAGTCAAAGGCATCCTCGAGGGAACAAGAGGAGGCGGAGCAGAAACAGCTCTATGGAGAGAAGATCTGTCGAAATCTCCTGGAAGATGAAACAATTGATAAGGACTATGTGGGCAAAATCACTGGGATGTTGCTGAGTCGTTCAATGGACGTGATTGTGGAGTGTATTGCAGATCATGCATTCCTGAATAATGAGGCTCGGAGTGCATACAACATCTTGCTAAGTGATGGTTGGAAGCCTGAGGAGAAAGAACGTGTCGGTGTGGAAGAAACAACCACTTTTTCTCGGAAGCAGTACCACGACGCGCTCTACGAACTGGCACGCAAGAAAAGAAGATTTAGTGGACCAGTTGTGGGTGAAGCGGTGGCAATGTTGCTGAGCAAGGGAAAAGATGAGCTTTGGAACGAGCTGTGGTTGGACACCAAGCGATTTCTGCAAGAGCTTGACGGTGCAGTCGAGGAGATGAGCAAGAGGGAAAACAGGCCGATAGAGACCTATATGGATCCCGATCAGTACAAAAAGGCTCACACGACTCCGAAAACTGTGTCACTTGGATACAGTAAGCTGTGCAGGTTCTTCAATCAAGGGAGGTGTCGAAATGGAGATGGGTGTTCCTATGAACATCGTCGCTACGGTGAAGGGTGGCCTGAAGGAGAGCCAATTGAGCCAAAGAACAGCCAAAAAACTGGTGACGAGGATGGGGACATCGGTGGCCCTCCAACTGATGAAGGTACAGTGGATGAGGTGCAGCAGGAGCGGGAGGATTCGGCCTTCCGAGCCCAGTACAACTATGGCAAAGGGACATCAAAAGGTGAGCCTACGCTGGGTGAAACGAAGAAACGGCTGTGTCTGTATTACAACCAAAGTGGTTGTAAATATGGGACTGCGTGCAAGTTCCTCCACGACGATGACGTGGCATTGGAAGGGACTTGGGAGCCTGGCAAATCTTGGGACAATGCTTCCAGAAGGGCAATAAGGGACGCGGGGTTCCACCAGTGCTGTTTCGACTACTATCTCAAAGGGAGATGTCGTGTGCGATTTGGCTGCAAGTATTCTCACGAAGAGATGTCTGAGGACCGGCTGGCCCAGTTGAAGCATTTGGTGAATGTGGCAAACCATGTGTCCTTTCAAAGAGCAAAGGGATTGGAGATTCCTGATAGGAGCGCTTTTCAACCACCAGTAAGTGGGGGAGCAGAATCTTCGTCCTCCTCAGCACCAAAAGCGCTGCAGATGACCAATGTGTCACAAAAAGATGGTGAAAAGGGTATTCTGGATGAAGAAGAGGCTGACGAACAAAAGAATTCGGTGGCTGCGTCTACTAGCACTCAGCTTCACAATCCAGAGGAGCCAATTGGAAATTGGATGGCTCGCAACCAACACCTGTGGGTGTATACCCCTCATGTAAGTGAGGTGATGATTACCCTCGGTGTGACCAATGTGTCGGACTTGCAAGAGTTCATCTTTGTGGAAGATTTGGTTGACAAAGGGATCAACAAGGTGACCGCATGCAAAATTCTGCAATTGGTGGGTGAGGTCCGATATCGACCGGGAGGACCGGAAAAGGCAGTTCCTTCTGATGCATCTGTACGAGTACAACAATCTTCTGGGAACAAAGGGACTGGAAGAGCGGCGGTGCGAACCCTCACTCAGGTGCGTGAAGCGGAAGACTCCGGTGCAAAAACGATGCCGAGAGGCTCCTATCGGGAGCTTTTTGATAAGGTCAAGTACCGTGACGCTTGGACGCTGGCGCAGAGTTCTCCGCTGTGTGTACAGAAGCTGAAGTTGGTGGGAGTTGGAATGCCACCGGTGAATCCACCAACAAAAAAATATCGGTCAAGATCAAACCCTGTGAAAAGGGGAAGGCCCTTGCTGGACAAAAAACAGGTGCGACAGGTGCCACGCTCTCGCTCACAGCGACGAGCACAACCGGCGGAAGTGGTGGAGAAACCAAAACCACTGGAACTGAAGCCTCGTGGTGGGTTGTCGTATCGGTTCAGCAGAGCGTGGGCAGATGTGGTGGACGATGATGATCAGGCGGAGGCTTTGGTTTCTTATGCCGCTTCCTCAAGCGTTCAAGCGAGGAAGAGACCAATGCTGTACACCGCATGCGGGAAATTCTTTTGCAAGAAAGGGATTCACAGAGAACTGCGATTCGTGGCAATGTTCCGATGGGTGGTTCTTCCGGCCCCAATGCCGGGCAGAAAAAATCGGTTCACCTTGGCAAAGAACGCGACAAAGCGTCGCGGGGGGAGACCCGCCAAGAAGTGACTTCTCAAGTTTTTTCGCTACCACAACCTTCTCGTCGAACTGAACAGTCTCAAAAAAGAGCAAGGGATGGCTCAGTTATGGTTGGTTCGCTGGCGGTGGGCTCCACGGATGAGGTTTTACCTGGGCAAGGTGTTGCTGGACAGGTGAATGGATCTGAAAGCGCTCAAGTTCTTCCTGGGCATGAAGTGGCTGGACAGGAGACGGCGCTGAAAGGAGCAGTGCAAATTCCCGGCGAGGAGACTGACCAAAATGAAGGAGAAGGTGGGAGCAATGATCTCCGTGGTGATGATGCGAAGAATTTGGACGGTGGTTTGGTGAGGAGTGACCTTCAGCAATTGCTGGTTAAAGGCCTTCTGAATCGGATTTATTGGAAGGTGGCAGTTGGCAAGTTGCCGGTCGGGCAAAGAGGCTGCCAAAAAGGGTCCAATAAGATGGATCGAAATTTGGTTATTAGCATGTCATCCGAGGGTGCAAGCGAACAGGATGAGAACCTGGCACTGGAGGACGATGCTGATCAGTCAATGGGTGACGGTGCGATGGTAGTTCTGGTGTATGATCCAAGGACGCTGATTCAGTCGCCAACAACTGATTGGGTTATGCGTCGTGGTCTGACCGATCGTTCCATCTGGCCAGCAATGGCGTACACAGCACAGAGAATATGTGCTGAAATGGTTCAAGTGGATGAACTGAACGCCCAGTTGAATACTGGGAGACTCCTTTTTGAAAGGAGAGATCAAGGATATTATTGTGATTTGCATCATTCGTTCCATGACAATCCGTGCTTGCCGGTGGTGGGAAATTATCCTCTTTCGGTGATGGGTGCACTGCTTTCCCCTGGCCTGGAAAAGGAATTCAGGGATACTGGAAAGTTTGGAACTGCTATGGAGGCAATAGCCTATGATTGGAGTCGCAGTCCAGGCATGGAAGTTCATGTGGAACTTATGGCAAGGGTAGCCAATCTGGTCGCTCCATTCCTTAAACTTGGTGGCCAAGGAACAGTGGTGAATTCTGAGTTTCTCTGGCAGCACGGGAGGGACCAAATGATGGAGTTCCTCCAGGCAGTGACTTGCGCTGATCAATTGGAAGTTCTCTGGAGAAGAATGGACGACGATGCTGATGAAGAAGTGGATCCTACAGGAATGGTGCTGGAGATTCCCGATCAACAAGATGCGGTACTAGATCAAGGGAACAATGAATCCCTTATTCCCATTGAAGATGTTGGAGGTGAGACACTTGGTGACACTGGAAGGGATGGCAAAGCGCCAGAAGTCTCTCCAGAAGAGGAGACATCCAGTGGGTCGTCAAGACTGGCGGGCACAAGGATTTTCTTGTGGTCAGTGTACTCTCGTGTTGCTTCCAACTTCTCTACGCAGGACCGCACTACTGGGAAGATCTTTGACAGCACAAAAGGTTATCCTGGTGAAGGACCAAACAATGGTGACAATCCTTCCTCTAAGAGGAACTTACCCTGGATTTCTGAAGACTACCTCGACGAAGTGGTGTCAAAAAAGATGGAAAGGTCTTCAGATATGGATGGGCTGGAGGGGTCTGTTCCGGGAGGTGAGGGATCGTTGGAAAAGGTAGAGGTGGAGAACGTTACTGCCTCTAAAATTCTTATGGCTCTTTGGAAAAAGGGATCTAGAGCTGGGTATAGGAGGTTGTGTCGTTTGAACGTATCTGGATGCAAGGTTGGAACAATGAAACGTCCAATCAACAGGGTGCAGAAGATCGGCACTAGGAAAGCCCTCATGAAGAAGTTCAATGTTTTTGGATCGTCTCAGCATGGCTCAGGAGTTGGCGGGAAACCAATCATGAAGGTGGTAGGACCAAGGCCAGGGTTTCCAGCTGTACTCCAAGCACCAACTACTGATAGCACGTCGGGTGAAGGGAGCAGTCCCCAGGTACATGGCAATGTTCATGTAGAGCACAATCGCCCTATGGACCGGTATGAGGCAGAGCGCTTGGAGAAGAGGAAGAAAGGCTTCTGCTATTGGTTCAGCAAAGGGAAAGATCGCTGCAAATTCGGTGAAGACTGTAAATTCATCCATTCAGAAGATGATGTGGTGCTACATTCATATTGGTGCAAATACTATGTGGCAGGGAGAGACTGTTTCGCTGGAAAGGATTGTGCGTTCTCGCATGATGCAACTGGTGTGAGGTGCATCCAGTTTGCTCGGTCTGGGAAGTGTCGTTATGGTGACAGGTGTGTGTTCGAGCATGGTGTTCCGCTGGATGAACAGAGGCCAAGGTCTCCAAGGACGCCCCCAAGGGATGGTCCAAGGAGAAGTTCTGGTGCAAATGGTGGAGAAAAGGAGATCTCTCCTGAACAGTTCGATGATGGTGAGGAGTATTCCATGACCTATGACGATGACACCAAAATGTCGGAGCTGTTGATGGAAGCGATTTCAATTCTTTCGAATGGTAAACCAGACTTGGCTCGAGCAGAAGCGGACCCACTGTTCAAACTCCTGAAGTTCAAGGGAGACGCTGACCAGATGGATAGAGAATGGGTTTCGTGGACCGAGGAGATGTTGTCCGTGCTGGAACTTCACGAAGTAGTGAAGTCGTATGACGTTTCGCTCGAGGAGGTGGAAGAATGGGTCAATGACCTGAGGATATGGTTCGAGCGAGCCAACTTGGAAGAAGAAAAAGATCCCAAAAGGGGCAAGAAGAGGTCCCTGGAAAGGGAGTCCAGCAAAGATATTCCTGCCGAGAAGGAGGTGGTTGAGACTTCTGAGACGGAAGTTATCGTTGAGGAGGAGGCAAAAAAGGTTAAAAAGAAGAGGAAACCTGTGGTTATCGAAGATCCTTATACCCTCCTGGTTCCAAAGCCGAAGAAGATGCCGGCGGCCATTGAGAAGAGTGGATCATCAACCAATGCGGCGGTTTCTGCAGGTGAAAAAGCCTCGAGAATGCGCGCAAAGTCAATCGTCGGTGGAAAGGCGAAGAAGAAGGAGAAAAGTCAGAGTCCCAAAAAGGGAGAAGTCGTGGTGGTGAAAGGTCCTGAAGAAAAGGATCGTCCTCCTGATGTGGATGAGCAAGCGTCGGCAGCTGTGAGTGCAGAGCTGGGTCAACCTTGCCAAGCGATTGAGGACGCGAAAAGAGAAGGACTGGTATCCTCGATTCAAAGGGGCGTACAGGATCCTGTTCTTACAGTTTCAGACCTGGAGTATATTCTGCTGCAACTTCACCTCAAGATTGCCAACAATCGGAAAAAGAAGTGATTGGATGGTATGGATGAAGGGATGGTTTTTCTCTTTCTGGAGACAGGTGCGCTGGAACAGCCAATGTGCTGACAAATGTGGTGGTTACTATTAAGGGTATGGAAATCCCTGATAGTAGAAGTCAGTAGCTTTTCGCGTAGCGAAGACCACGGTTTGTGGTGAAGAAGGCCAAGGAGTCTTCAGTGATGAGAGGATCATGGTGAAAAGATTCTCTATGGTTAGTGGATTTGGCCAATGAGCTATAATTTCGTCCTGGTAGACGTTAAACCATATTGTGCATGTCAAGCAGCAGGCTACTGCCCTAATGGCAGTTTTTGGCCAAAGAATCTGCACCTCCAATGTGTCCTAGGAAATCCTAGGACAGGGGGAGTGCGGAGCTGCAACTGGTATTGTAGAAAGAAGTTAGTGTTGGAAGTTGAAAGGGTTAATAAACCCGGAAATCATTTCTTGGCTCAAGACTGGGCCATGTGCCTGGTAGTAAAAGGTGAGTGCCCTGTGGTTTGGGTTTGTTGTGTGGTTGATCCAGGGAAATCAAGGGATTCTGTTGGGGTTGACTTTTCGGTTTCTCGTCCCCCTTCGGGTTCCCCCCGTATAGGGTTTGGGGTTTAGGGTGTATAGGGTTTAGGGTTTCGTCCGAGTTCTAGCTCTCGCTTCTGTTCCGAAAGGCACTCAGCCTTTTGCAGCGGACTTTGGGTAAACTAAGCTAAGCCCTAAGTCCCATTTTGCAACTGAGTTCAGGGTTTAGGGTTAGAGTGCAGGGTTTTGGGTTTCGACCCTAGAAAAGCTACAAACCCTAAAGCCCTAAAGCCTATATAAGCATGCAGCCGGCAAGGCTTCAGTTGCACTGTCCACGCTCGTTGCTATCGACGTCATCTACAGCAGCTTGCGATCCACAACCGGGGGGTTTGCCCAAAGGCTCCAATGTAGTTCCTTTTTGGGTTAGGTATAGGAGACTCTAGTATACTACCCCAACAAGGTACTACATAGGAGCCTTTGGGTAGGGTAGGGTTTAGGGCTTTGATTGAACCCTTCCGGCACGCCGGTTCTCGCGCATGGGGGGGAGTGGGATGCAAAAACCCAGAAACATCGACCCTCATTGCACGATCCCTGTGAGCCGAAAAAAGGAACGCAGAAGAGCTAAGAAGGGATCCCCATATGTCCCCATGAGGGGTCTGCCCACTCGAATCTTGATGTCATCAGCCTACATCGCAAAGTTGTTTTTTGCCTGACAAAGTGCACCCCGCCTCAGTGCCGCGCGTGTTCTGCCGCTTTTGAACCGATCGCTTCGCAAAAATGCTGCAGGGACGTTCTTTCGCTCTTGGGTGGGTTCGCTATGTGCACTTCAGCTCAGAAGCTCCCCCGTCCCGGCTCAGTTCTATGCGAAGCCCCCCCGCAGGTTGCAGTTAGGGGGGCCTTTTGAACCCTAAACCCTAAACCTTAAACCCTAAACCCTAAACCCTAAACCACAGAATGACGCCAGCGTACATCGAACATGACGACCCTAAGAACTCTGACACAACTACAGCGGGCCTTGCAAGACCACCTTCGCGGACTCCGCGAAGTTGCAGGACAGCTGAACGAGGAACCTGCCACTGCCGGACGCAATGGGATGAAGATCTAGGCCAACCTATTGGAAGATAAATGTTGGGGCAGTTCCTCTGTTCTTTGTTACGTATCAAACAGCAGTCCACAAGGTCTCGTGCCTTACACGCCGCCAGGCCAGGCATTCTGTTTGACAGGCCAAACAAGGGACTATAGAGGGATGATAGGAGGATGTTATTGGTAACTTTTAGGCTCTCTCACTTCTTGGTGCACTTCTCGATGCGTGTCTAGCAAAGTGTTGCTAAAGCCCACCTAGCGCACGAATTCTTTGAGGCCAGGGCAGAGGAGGGTGTCTTTAGCGCATGATAGCTTCGGGGTTGAATGATGATGCTCTAGGCTTCGGTCGGTCTGTGCCTGAGAGGTTTAAACCCTAAACCCTAAACCCTAAACCCTGAACCCTAAACCCTAAACCCTAAATCAAGTTATAGCCAGACATATCAGTAGTTTCCCTACTAACAAAACAGATACAAATGCCCCATCTGGACCTCCAAGTGGGGTTTTTGTAAGGTACGGGCCAAGAGGGTGTGAGGTTAAGGCTCTTGGTAGCCCAGTACCCATGGTTTCTCCAGGGCACCCATTTTGGGGGGTCGGTTACGTTTACCAAAAGAAACCAGCACCCCAAAAGGGCACAAAGAGTGTACCCCTCAGCTTCCAGGGGCTTATGAATTACATCGTTCTATGATTTTTCAATTGTGTCATTTTCTTCTCATAATCGTATATGACTATATGATTTCACATTCTGATATTATGATGGGGTGTGAGTTGTGGGTTTAGGTTTTACTAGCTCATGGTTGGGAGAGTAGTTTCAATTTGAACTTCTATTCAAATTCCTTATTGAGTTTAAGTACCCTTAAACATGTAAAATGTTATCCCACTGTGACAAAGGTTCGGGTTTAGGGTTTAGGGTTCCTAAACCCTAAACCCCAAACCTTAAGCCCTAAACCCGTGAAATCTCAAAGCGCCAATCTTGGGCCCAAGGGCCCGGTCAGCGAGAAATTCACCTCGCCCCGGACGGTCAAGGTCGTGGCGGCCATGACCTTTGCTGCAAGCAACTTCCCGGGTTTAGGTTTTAGGGTTTAGGGTTTAGGGTTTAGGGTTTAGGGTTCCCTTTCCCACCCCACCCCCCTATACCCCCCTTTTACCCCCTACACCCTTTTTGCAACTGGGCTTGAGGACTTGCCAGTTTCAACCTCGATGAGGTCGACTGAGGCCCCACATGCACTGGAAGCATGCTTAAGATGCCAGAGCTCAGAAACCCTAAACCCTAAACCCTAAACTCCGTTCTTGCTAAACCCTTAAACCCTTTTGCGCCCCAGACTTCGGGGTCGGAACGTCAGGCAGGGCAGGGTGTTTTCAATCCTTTCCTGCCCACATTGAATCCCTAAACCCTGAAAAAAACCCACAAAATCTGAAAAATCCAAAGTTAAACCCTAAATCCTACACCCTACATCATAAACCCTAAACCCTAAGTGGAGAGTGTGGCTCCTGGGATGGAAACCGCCAGGGCAACCAAAGACATTTCGTCCGGAGGTTAAACGCCTCTTGACCTGAGGATCTGCCAAGGAATTCCCCCTGACTTTTCGGGGGAGAGATGAAGTAGGGCTTTGATGGCCGCTATCCCCAGATAAAGAAACTATTTCACGTCAGGTCAAAGGACTGGATTTAGATGATAACGGAATCTACCACCAAATCGGCGTATGAAGGTCATGGCTCGTGGAGGAAGTAGAGCCTAAAACGGGAAAAAAATCACAAACTACAAAAAAAGCTCTGGTTCTGTGCCTGATCCCAGAATTTTGACGTTCTTCTCTCGATTTCCGGCCACTCGAAACACCCTGGGAGATGCTATTTAAAACAACTAGATCCAAGCTGCCTTAGAAACCGATCTATTGAAAGCCTTGTACCTAAGCCCTAATAACCCTAAACCCCAGATATTCAAACCGTAAACCCTAAACCTTAAACCCCAATAGCCCCTGCCGTGCGGCGCACAGCAAGACCAGGGCCATACGCACCCGGAACCTCCGGCGCGGGGTTTCTTGTGGGAGCCCTGTGCTCCCTCAGCCCACGTTGCGCCAGGCTTTTGGGTTCATGGGGTTTGTGCCGGTTTAGGGGTTTAGGGTTTTGGCTTTTTGGGTTTACTTGTCTGAGATAATTCTCGTGCAAATGAAGCCCAGAAATCGAGACTAACGTCTTGTGTACTGCTGATGCGTCTACTTTGCTCGTGCAGTAAAGGCGGGGCTACTCCCCCTACATACAAAGCCGAGATATCAAGGACTAGGGTTTCCAGTGTATTTCGATTCACTTTTGAATTATGTGTGACACGTTTTGTTGATAGGCCCTATTTGGTGACGTCCCCCCGCGAATCAAGACTTTAAGATCTCTAAACCCTAAACCCTAAACCCTAAACCCTAAACCCTGAAGAAACAAGGCAGTTTCTGTTGCTTCTTCTACTCTATGAAGTGCTTTCTGAGAGAAGAATATTACAGACGCTACCAGGCTCAACCCTAAAGCCAAAAAACCCTAAACCTAAACCCTGTTAACCTAAAGAAACCGTATATCCCGTAAGCCCTAGTCCCTAAACCTCATATTCCCTGAACCTTCTATTCCCTAAACCCTATTTTCCCCAAACCATGTATTCCCTACACCGTATATTTCCTAAACCCTAAACCCTATAAACTCCCAAGCCGGCTGCATGCAGTCCGGGCATCTTCTCGAGTCCAAGCATTAGCGAAAACACGAAGACGATGATCACGTTGCCTGGGTTTTGGGAGGGTTTGGGGTTTCTATACTCCCCTTAGAACCTGAATAGCAATATATGATTTTAAATGTCCTCTTGGGTTTATATTAACAAAAAACAACTAAGGGGGATATAGGTTTAGGGTTCGGGGTTGAGGGTGAAGGATTTGAGGGTTTAAGGCTTAGGTTCCTCCAGCAGATTAGCTCGCAAAAGCCCCAAGAAAATTCCAGAAGTGTTACCAAGAGTCTTGGCTTTAGGGCCAGGTTTCTGGGCTTCAGGGTTTAAGTCGCAATGATCTGGCCTTCTGAAACCCATGCATGCGGTTCGCACCATCATAAACAGGTAGGCTGCTCTGCTTCACCATCTGGAGGAAAGCGACGCTGGCCTCAGCTTTGCACCCAAACCGGCAGACCTTCTGACAGGCCCTCGTATTGCCTGTTTTTTGATGACTATATTCTTGTACGGTTTAGGATTTAGGCTACTCAATCGGAATTGTGAGGAAACGATCCTGCTTCAAAAGATGTTGTACTTTTTTGTTTTCAACCCAGATGTTCAGTTGGAAGTCGGCCACACCCATGCCCCGCACAAGATGTTGCACTTTTCGCACACACACGCACACACAGTGACACTGAGTAAGGGCTTGGGTTCCGGAAAATTCTGAGTCAAGCAGACCAACGTCAAACTATGAAGATCCTCTGTTGTTTAGTTATAAAGCTATGCTCCCCAAGATTGCCCTGATACTCCCTTCAGCCCCAAGTACCAACCCGCCTTGTAGAGGAGTTTCAGGGGGGCTGCAGGTAAGGGTAACCTCACAACCCGCACCCCGAAAGGTCCCCAGAAAGTCCCTGATGCTTCTAACAACAGGCTCCCTTTCAGCTTTGCTTAGCTTCCTTAAGACGCGACCCGAACCCTCTTACCCCTAAACGGCCCTAGACCCCCGAAACCCTCCTTACACCACCACACCTCAACCTCGGCTGCTCAGGCCAAAGTGCGTACTGGTACGCCGTGTTGCCTGGAATCCGCAGAGGGGAGGTGAGGGAATCCGTAAGGACCAACTGAGCCGGGGGCTGTGGTGTTACCCTAAACCCTAAACCCTAACCCCTAGTGTATTTAACCCCGAAGCTAGGATCGTACACCCTACTATACTCCAAGTGAAGCCCCAAGGCAGCCCAAACCCTCAACCCCTAAGCCCTTCCCCCCCCCCCCCTCCCTCCCCCCCCCCCCCCCCCCCCGCCAAACCCTAAACCCTAGTACCTAAATCCTAAACCCTAAACCCTGACCCTAGACTTGGGACGACCCCGGAATATACAGCAGGCCCGCAAGCGGCCAAAGGATTTCAAGGGGCCTACGGTTTAGGGTATACGGCTTTTTGGGCTTTAGGGTTTAAGGCTTTGGGGTCTAGGTTTAAGGTTTAGGGCCTAGGGTTTTTTGTTGGGGCTTGGTAGGGGTTCACTCCCGATCCCTGGTTCCTCAACTCTGGACCCCGACGGCCCGAAGGTGTGGGGGGTTTAGGGTTTAGGGTTTAGGGTTTAGGGTTATCTTGCCCCCAACCTGAAAACCATCCCTGCACTCTACACTCTCCACCCTAAGCCCTTTTGCAACTGGACTTGGGGGACGAGCCAGATCCGAGCTCCCAAATCTTGTCGACTGAGGGCCACCCTAAACCCGAAACCCTGAACCCTGAACCCTGAACCCCAAACCTCAAACCCTAAACCCTAGACCCTAAACCCTAAACAGTACACCCTGCAGGAAAGGAGTAGCACAGCGCGAGAAAAGGAAGAGTAGAAGTGGGGTTCCATTTCTCAAGGCCTAATGCTACTTCCAACACCGGGCAGACCCCTCGACCCGGCAAGCCTCTGCACCCTAAACCCTAAACCCTAAACCCTCAACCCTAAACCCTAAACCCTAAACCCTATAAACCCTAAACCCTGACCCTCCACGAGTTTGTGGTGCATATGTCCCGACTAGGTATCACTGGTAGTACAGCGTATATGACCCCAACTCTTGAAGGTTTTGTTTGTTCCCCAGGCTAGGGAGATAGTGAGAGCGGGCATGGGGGTGCACATCCTGACGTGCGGTTGGGCGGCTGAGGACAAGGGACGTGGTGAACAGCAAGCCTACCGGCAGTACTCGCCGTGTGAGGAAGCGCGCGCTCACGCCCACCTTGACAGCGAGTCCGGAGGCCCCGCACCCAAAGTGAAAAAAACAGAGGAAGAAAAGAAATGCAACCCCGTACGGCCATCAAATATCAGAGCGCCTTACCACGAGTGCGAATGCAGAGCCTTGGAGTTCAACTATCCTGCGCGTAAAGTTGAGAGGACCTGACGGGAGTAAGCGCAGCTCCTGTGATTTTTGGATGTGCGCATGGGCAGTCCCCCAAGAAACAGGGGACCCAACAAAATCCCCTGAAGGAACCCCACCAAAACCACCGTCATTCTCGGAAACCCCAGAGTGCGCGAGCCTAATCATGCTGACTCAGGCCCGGGACACGTAAAGTTTTAGCCCCAAACCCCAACGCCTAACAGCCTTCTACTTGAAGGCTCCATGTGTAGTTAGAAGTAGGGCGATATGGGGGTTTCCGAAAGTGGTGGGGTACCTTATTGGGGTGCTCATTTTAAGGGCATCCTACTTTTTGTGAGTCTATAATCAGGGTCCCCTCATTATCGTAAACCTCCATATAAGAATCACACAAATCAGGGAGTGTATCCCGACACAAGCACCTCGACATTGGGGTTTTTGAACCCTTTCGAACCTGAAAGGTGCTTAAGATGCCAGGTTTAGAGGTTTAGGGTTTAGGGGTTTAGGCGGTTTAGGGTTTAGGGTTTAGGGTTCAGGGTTTAGGGTTTAGGGTTTAGGGTCGAGGGTTTAAGGCTTCGGGTTTAGGACATTAGCCACCCGGCGGGGCTGAAGACCAGCACAAGAAGTAACTGCGTCAGTCCACATGCTCGACATGAGACCACCTGCACCATACTCGAGGATCCTCACGAATTGTTGGGAATGCGACTTCAAGCAAAATCCCTGAACTCCAGACATTCTTCATGAGTCCGGATCTTCTTGACCCTAAGCCATATAACCCTCCAACCCTATAACCCTATAGCCCTATAACCCTATAACCCGATAACCCGCGAACCCTACAATGCTACAACCCTAAAACCCTAAAACTCTATAACCCTAAACCCTAAACCCTAAACCCTAAACCCTAAGCCCTAAACCCTAAACCCTAAACCCTAAACCCTATAACCCTACAACCCATTAGACTTGGGACACCAGGTCCCCGGAGCCTTCTTCTCCGTGTCCGTGAGGGCAGGGAAGAGCCCAGGGCATCTGCAGCTTCGGAGTGCCGTAGGGTTTAGGGTTTAGGGTTTAGGGTTTAGGGTTTAGGGTTTAGGGTTTAGGGTTTAGGGTTTAGGGGCTCGCGCATAGCTGACGCGAAGTCGCACAGCAGGGGGTTTAGGAGGGTTTAGGCTCTTCAGGCTTTATAGACCTTTAATAAAGCTTTGGGGAAATTTAGGCTTTAGGGTTTATCGGGCATTCGATACAGGGCTTGGGGCTTCGGGCTCCAAGAAGACTTTCTTGTAGGGTTTAGGGTTTAGGGTAGGGTATAGGGTTTCAGGTAACAGAAAGGGCATAAGAACATTACGGTGCGTCCTTTGAACTAGATGTAAGAGCGTTGCAAGAATGTCTTCGAGTTGTAGAAGTGCATCTCAAGGCCAAGCAAAAAAAGAACATCTCTCGTAGGACCGACGGAACATCCCCAAGGTTCCGTGGGCCACAAGCTCTTGAGAAAGCAAAGCCAGGGCGCATCAGCAGAAGGATCCAGCTGAGGAAGGAGCCCCCAACCATGTGCAGATACACCAGCCTCGACCACTTCCGATGAGGCTGTGCCCTAAACCCTAAACCCTAAACCCTAAACCCTAAACCCTAAACCCTAAACCCTAAACCCTAAACCCTAAACCCTAAATGGTCTCTTAAGGACACTGGTATCCTCGCCAGGCTAGGGATTGCAACTCCAGGAGCTGATCCCAAGGGACTGTTTTGGTTTAGGGTTGCGGGTTGAGGGTTTAGGGTTTAGGGTTTAGGATTTAGAGTTTGGGGTTTAGGGTTTAGGGTTTAAGGTGGTATGTAGCTTGGAGCACGCACGAGTCAGCAGGATGATGGCAGAACTGTGCTTGAAGGGCGCCTTTAACCCCCCAAAACCTTGGTAACCCTAAACCCTAAACCCTAAACCCTAATACCTTTTTGTGGGTTTAGGGTTCCATTAAGGGAACCTCGGACCAACAAGAAAGGGGGCAAAAGGGTACCCACTGGGACACCAAGAACCCGCACACCCTACGCGTGGAGCCCAAGGTACCAGGCAGCTAGGACCCGATAGCTGAACTCTTCCCGGGTTTACCCAAAGGCTCCTATGTAGTACCTTTTTGGGGTAGTATACTAGAATCTCCTATACCTAACCCAAAAAGGAACTACATTGGAGCCTTTGGGTGTAGGGCTTAGGGTTTGGGGTTTCGTGTGATATGCTGAACCCCTCCCCAAACTGGGAGTTTCCAAAAAAAGCGGAGGGTGTATAGGGTTTAGTTTGCTAAGGCTTGCCACCTTTTCTACCATCGCCGCCCCCCCCCCCCCCCCCCCCAAAAAAAAAAAAAAAAAACATGTAGTAGAATCGCCTTGGAAGGGGACCCTTTGCCAACAAAAGGAAAGGAGACCCTCCCCCCTCCTGCACAAACAAAACACATACCAATGTTATCTTAGCTGCTGAGGTCGTAAGCCCCCAAAAAATGTACACTTTCAGTTCTATAGGGGATTAGAATGGTATCCCCAAAAGTGTCAAGTGTACTCATTCAGCTGCTAAGTTATATATGGTATACGCCTAAGCCCTTTTTACATCCAGGCCTCTGAAGTCTGCCGGGTAAGTATGCTGACACACAGGTGCAAGGCCCAAACCCAGCACTCGGGGCTAGGGAACGACCCGCTAACCCTAAGGCCGAAACTCAAAAACCCACAATAGGGGAACCCAAACAGTTGGAAACTTCGGTCTGCGCACGTGGCAACCAATGTCGCCCAAGCGGCACCACCGGGTATGGAAACCTGTGGCTGCCAGGCGCGCACAGGGCTTGCAAGGTTTAGTGTTGAGGCTTTAATAAACCCTAAACCCTTTAGGGTTTAAGGATGGTTTAGGGGAGTGTTGGGTGTTGGGTGTCAACCTCCCGTGTTACCGATGCCGGAACCTCCCTCAAAGCTCGAAGCCCGAAGAGGAAGGTGTGTTGGATTGAAAGCAATCGCCCGGCATCCCCGTCATAGGGACCCACCGAACCTGCCCGCAAAGGCGTACGCCCCCGTAGAATCTAAGACCTTGAAGTAGTTGGGCCCACGTGCGGGGCACCCTTTTGTTGTTTTTGGGGTGGCGGGAGGAGCTTGGAAATCTCTGACTCGCTCACACTGTTTCAAGGACGACAAGGGACCACGAGCATCATGGGCACATGCCCGACAGGACGAGCCGTCACCGGTACTTACATGCAGTGTAAGACCTTGGCCAAACAAACACACATACACACACAACACAGCCAACAACCATTTGTTGATCCTTTCTCGAGTTGTGCCAGATTGATGTCTGTTTGGTGAAACCAGCGCAGCGTCATGTCACCCTAATTCGCTGATTCGAGGATGCATGACATTGTCCTTCACGGAAGTTTGGCGTCGTCCAGGGCTCACGAGATCTATCGCGCGCCCTGTTTCCAACGCGAAGGAGCTGTAGTCTACGAGTCTCAATGCCACAGGCACAGCCGTCTGCGCAAGACATTGTGACAGCTTACTTACAACCCGAAAAACCGTTAATCCCTAAACTCCAAACCGCCTTTTCAACTCTAAACTCGAGAACCACGGCTCCTGCTCTCTTTCGAGCCGCCAGCGCACAACCACGCGCCCATCGAGGCGTGCACTGACATTGTTCAAACACACCCGCGCCACTGGCCTGCTCTGAGGCAAGCAGCGCCAGGAACAAGTATCGAACATCACCGCATAGACAGACACCCTAATGCATCTGGCTCCGGTGTGCGTTGCGCCAGGGCAAGACAGACCCGCAGCAAAGCAGGTCGTCTGGCATTCAAAACAATCCATCCATTTCCGGCCCTTTCATTGAGCATCGAATCTCTACCGATGTACTCTTCTTCTTCCCCATGCTCTAGGCCGTGAAATGGGAAGTCATTCCCCTTCAACTTACAGGAGACTCACGAGACAGTGCCATGTCTTGTCTTGACTTTGGAGTCTGAGAGGTGGCGGTGCAACACAGAACACCCTTCCGGCAAAAAAAACCATTCAGAACCGAAGACTTACAAGGGCTACGCCCTAGACATCCTGGTCAACCTGCATGCACCTTCCTCTCAACCCAGCCTGCGTCTGGAAAGTAAGTGCCTTCGTGGAGGTTCTAAGCTGCTGTTCGTGGCAAAACGCACTCAAGCAAGCTGATCCGACACCCCCCAACCCCAAACCCAACCAATTCTCAGTGTTGGTGGCCTTAGTCCAGCGTGCTTGAAACCAAGGTTCATGCTTGTGTGCGCTGCCGCTCGATCATGCTGTGCTGAGCACAAGTCTTCAAATGTTCAGGGGTCGCCTATGCTACACCACCCAGAGCATACTGCCTGGGCGTTCAACGTCACTGACTAGCGGACTAGCGTGGGCGAGCCACTTGCTTCATCTCACCGACGGCCATGTTCTTGGCAAAGGAGAAAGGAAAGTAATCCATACCCAGTGAAGCTTCACTTAGGCTGGAGCTGCGTGATTCTGCGTTTGCCGGCTTGTCCACCTTGTGTTCAAAATCACCCATGAGGCTCATGGGCAAGGGTATCTTGTCTGGCCCGGGCGGGTTTACAGATGGCCATTGGTCACATGAATGGATCACTTGCCCGGAGAACGTACGCGGTGGGCCAAACTGCCTTGTTTCTGCCACGCCCATGGGACTCAAGGGACCCTTTTGGGGGTATTTTGGCATCATGTACGTGGCAAGAAACGCATCTTCTTGTGCCTGGAATGACGGGAAGGTCGAGTGCTGCATTTCGGCGAATCTGGGCTTTTTACTCTCGACAACATGGTGCGCAAACCTGCATGCATGCCCCCGCGTGCAGTAACCACCGTTCTTCACGAACTCGAAGCACCGCTTTGGACTGGGGCGCAACTCCGATGTCGAGTGGGCGAACGTGCAGTCTGCGCCCATCTTGCACTCGTTTTTTCGCCAGAATTTGCACATGCGGGTGAATTGCACAGCCATCTCTTTCTGGGCCTCGGCCATTGCTCTGGCGATGGTTCGAAAAGCAAAGCGGTTTAGGCTTCAGAACGGGCTTTGCGAAGCTTGCGCACGTCAGCCTCCTTGGTCCAAAAAGGCTTCAGCCAAGATGGCTAAAGGTTTCGACTCTCACACTGGCATGCGCGGAATCAAGGTATAGGGTTCAGAGTTCCTTTGCGCAGCAGGCTGGGAAGGGTACGCCCGGACCTGTTCCAAACCCCAGACCCTGAAGGCGTTTAAACCTTGAACTCTCAACCGTGGCCATACACCCCAGTTTGCAGGCTCCGGAAGCCCTATAACGTTGCCGAACTATGAGGCCATCCACTACTTCTGAGGGCGGCACGGACCTTTGGAAAAATTGAAGCAATCCTACACAAGTTCGTGTTCCATTCACCCCTATGGGTGGTTGACCCCAGCAGTTTGCTTCAGTTGGCCCCCTCAACCCGAAGCCCTAAACCCCAAACCCGAAACCCTAAACCCCCCAAAGGCTCTCAACTGGTGCAGACGAGGGAGCCGAGTCGGATGGATGAGGTACTTGTTGTAAGTGATCAGTGCTGCAGAGCAAGCGATGAGGGCGATGCTCCAGAAGACCTCCAGAAATCGTCGGCGCGGTTGTTGGGGATTGCTTGGAGGTATCATGGGTGGTTATACGTAGGGTTTATAGAAACAGCTACTACATGATCCTTCCTATAACTATCCATGCACCTCCAAGTAGGGCTCGAGGTGATGGAGGCCATCTTGTTTAGGGCTGCGTGCTGGGCCCGCCGCCTGCTTGCACGTTAAGTGCACACACGTTGGCACGCACCTCATGCCGAAACAAACCAAGTTCATCCCAACTGGTGCCCTTGAGAGCCACACACCCTAAACCGAACCCTAAACCCTAAACCCTAAACCCCGAACCCTAAACCCTCAAACCCCAAACCCTAAACCCTAAACCGCTAGCGGCAGGTTTAGGATCTGATGTCGGAGCCTTGGACATCAGCTTCTGCGCATCCTCGCGGAGCAGTGGCTTCGTCTCCATGGCGGCTTCCAAGGCCTGCACAGGTTTTGGAGTTCCGGTTTGGGGTTTAGGGTTTAGGGCTAGGGTTTAGGGTTAGGGCTTGGGGATGGGTTTGGGGGTTTAGGGGTGCTGTGACACGGCGCAGAAGCTGTGAAGGCTGGGATGCAGAGTAGCTTCGAAAGCCTCGCAACATGCGAAAGGCAGCTACGACCCCGATTGCGGAGGGCCATCTAACACTTTAAACTTCTCCCACTTCACACTGTCTTAGCTGGGGCACCCTTATACTAACGGTCCTTAGGATTATAGTACCCCCCCCTATGATCATCCCTATTACGGACTGTTAGTATAAGGGGGAACATCCCAAGGTTTAGGCCTAAACTCACTTCAATCGCCTGCTTCCAACAAATCTCCTGCGTCCAGGGATCCATGAGTCGGAAAAAAGGTTGCGGATTCCAGTTTAGGGTTTAGGGTTTAGAGTTTAGGGTTTAGGGTTTAGGGTTTAGAGTTTAGGGTGACCTCCATGCAACGCGGGCGAACGACCTGGGTCGGCTTGCGCTAGTAAGGTCGAGGGGCTTCAGCACAGTCCCCTACTGTAGGGAGGCGGCCTAATAGCGGGTTTGGGGTTTGGGGTTTAGAGTTTCGGGTTCTAGAATTTCGGGTTTGGGGTTTGGGATTTAATCTCTCACAGTTGTTGTCCTAAGCGCTTGGGTCAAAGTGTGCGCCTACACTGCGAAAAGTTCGGTGGAGAGGCACGCAGTCAGTGTATGCAGTTGACGGTCTCAAGACAGGTATCTACATAAGCCCCGTTCTGAATTAGAAGGGGGTTCATGTAAATGACATGCGTCAAATAGAGACACACCTGGGTAAATAAACCTGATCAACCCCAATAAGACATCTGCTCCTCCACCTTCTCATGGTAGCAAACCCCAAAACTCCAAACCCTAAACCCCAAACCCTCAACTTAGGAGTTTAGGGTTTAGGGTTTAGGGTTTGGGGTTTGGGGTTTAGGGTTTAGGGGGGGTTTGGGGTCTCGGGGCGGCTCCCTCCCGCCTCGTCGGCCCCGGCATCAGGCATGTCTTGTCCAGGTCAGAGATTCCTTTGAGCAAAGGCCCTAAACCCTAAACCCTAAACCCTTTTTTGAACCCAGACTCCTGAAGTCAGCTGGGAAAGGCCTTCGACAAAAACCTTAAACCCTAAACCCTAAACCCTAAACCTTAAACCCTAAACCCTACATAAACCCCTAAACCCTACACCCTAAACCGCAGTAGCTTCCACATCTCTGGCATTGGGCTTAGGGCGTGCCAAAGCGTATGCCGAACAAAGGGACCCCAAGAAGGGAATGACATCACACTAATGCCTGTGGTTCCTTCTATGCATCAACTTTCCCGAAACAGGGGTCCCCTTCTTGGGGTTCATTTGGGGTTTATTCAGAGTCATCTCCCATTATTTGGGGAAAAACTATCCCATCTTGAGGCTCCCGCAACACTCCTTGAGGGTTTTGGGCCAGTTTGGGGGGGGGGGGGGGGGGGCAAAAGCGAACAATGGAATCGACAAAGCTACACGTACAAACCAATTCCGCCCCATCTGGTTTGCCAAGGCGCAGTACCAAAAAAGCACGGACCTGGGTTCTTACTCGGCTGGCTCAAGAATATTCGATCTTGATGGATAGATGTTGGTTTCTGGCTCTTGCTCTGCACTAAACCCCCTTTTGAACCCCCTCCCCAGACCCCCGAAAACCGAACAAAGACCCGAAAACCGAACAAAGGCCAAGGGACAGTATTTGAGGGAGAAGTGCGGCGAGCTACGCCGCCGGCTGCCGTGCGCTAGAGCCACAGCAGCTGTCGAAGGCTTATCCCAATCCCAAAGGCCTTCTGGCCTGCAGTACCTCCCTAAACCCTAAACCCTAAACCCTAAACCCTAAACCCTGAAGCACTCTGCAGCGTGGCCCGGAGCTCTCTGGGCTCGGGGGGGGACCCTTGTGAACCGCGGCCGTAAGCCCCAAACACGCATGGTTGGGATAGTCTCAAAAATGTAAATTCCCATTCCTTATTGGGTTTGAGTATCCTTAAACATGTAACATGTTACCCCACTATGACAAAGAATCATGCCAAGCTCTGAACCCCCGCAAGCGCGGCATCCCTCCCAGGCTCGCTTTGCAACATCACGGAAATGTCGCTATGTACAGCTCCCCGTGCGTGTTGCATCTGGGAGTCCGGTTGAGGAGCAGCAAAAGTGCTGGCACGCGATTCCCCTACCTCATCTGTCCTGCAAGAGGGCTACCTTCTTGGGGGCTTTCTTGGAATCCTAGGCTAAGGACCCCAGGCATTTTGGGGACATCTTAAGGAGACCCCTAAACCCTAAACCCTAAACCCTAAACCATAAACCCTAAACCTCAAACCCTAAACCCCTTCGAAGCTTCATCATGCACCTCGCTGCCCCAAGCTTGAAAACGTGGGGAGTTCGGAGCAACGCCATTAAAAGCGGCAAGGCTCCCGTCTCTTGAAACAGCGCACCGCGCTACGAGGGTAGAAAAAGGGTGCAATCAGGCGCACGCGCCGAAGATGGCGAATTCGAGCCCATCTCATTCACTTTCGGAATCTACCCTGATGAGCCGATAAGCCCCTAGGGTTTAGGGTTTAGGGTTTAGGGTCCTAAGCCCAACATAAACGGCCCAAGCCACGCCATCCACCAGCTTTATCAAGCAGCCATGCTCGCAACTGTCACCCGGCGTCTTTGGGTGTCGAGTCTAGGGTCGAAAAAGATCACAGATGTACCTCGACACAAACTCATGGTAACTTCCTTGGCGAAGCTTTCCACCGAAGTTGCGAGCACGGCCCTTGTCAAAGCCTATGGACCTATGTACCCACAAACTAGATACTTCGACCGTACTCAGATAGTCTCTACTCTGGGGCCAAGGTATCCCCCCAAAAACGGCACCTGCATCAATTGGACAAGTAGCCCGGGGCCTTAAGCCTTGGGCCGTTGGCCACGGACCCTGCGGCGGATCAGCGTCGGCGCATACCTGCATGTGCGAGTGAGCTTCGAGGGGTTCTTAAGGTTCAGGGTTTAGGGTTTAGGGTTTGGGGTCTAAAAAGGGTCCATGCCTTATTTGCTACCTACGTGGCTGTCCAAGTCGCACCGCAGGTCTGCGAGAAATTGCCCCTAAACCCTGAACCCTAAAACCAAACCCAAAAAAGTCCTCTACAAATGCAGATTTTTGTCGGACTTACACGGAGACTCATCGGCCAGACTGTGCTACTGTGCTACGAGTCAGCCGGTCAAAAGACGCACGGAAAATGAATCGGAGGTGCAACCAATTGGGGGGCTCTCGAAATTAGGGTTCCTTTTGGGGGTCCTGATTAAACGGGTGACGCCTTGTGTAGCGGACCACAAGCTAAAGAGCTGCCCATATTGTTCTAGTTGGGATCTCGACTCTCAAGTCAAGGGTTGGAAGCGGCTCGTCAGGACTCGTCAGAAGAATCTGAGTCCGGGTTTAGGGTTTAGGGGATGGGGCTGGATTGCGCCAACATCTGGACAACACCCAGGCCCAGTGAGGCGACTTCGGGAAGGCGGCGTCACGTGTGTATGTTGCTGCACAGGCTCTGAGTATTTTCTTAAACTCTGCACCAGGCTATAGAGGAGCTTCAGAGAGATTGGGCACCCGTGCACTGGAAGGGATGGAGCTGTCAAAGAGCCATCCCGATCCAGGGGAATGCTCGTAGGGATGCGGGGTTTGAGTTTGAGCGCCAAGGGCTTCGGCCTGAAACCCAAAGACTCCAATGATAGGAGTTACTGTAAGGAAGATTCTCTACATGATAGCAGGGATCCTACTCTGATGATTCCATGATTCGTCATGATAGTAGTAGTATAGTAGTGCAAGTGTGCTTCAGTGCAGCTTCGGGAGTTCATAAACACGCAGCTATATGCCGGCCCAGGTGCCGCAGCGGCTCTGGTTCCAAATCCGGCTTCGGCGCGGCGTCGGCAATCAAACGCCGGGGCCCGGCCTTCGGCGGGGTGCGTTCCCAAGAATGATAAGGTGCTGGGTGCCCAGAGAGCCCAATACCCCTTAATTAAGGAATACACCGTGAATCATACGAGGATCCCTATTAATTTTGATTTAAGGTATAGTTATCCCGTCATTAAGGCGTATTGGGCTCTTTGGGTATAATGGAAGACCGATGTACGCAAAGACTTTGCTTCGAATGCAGCGTGCACCCGCGGAGCTGTGCTGAATATGGAATGTGGGATGGGTGTTGGAACTTAGACTCTGCTTTTCATGTCTGTAAGCCGGGGTCGTACATAGGTTCCGACTCTTTTTGCTCCCCCGGTGTTGCTTCTGGAGGGCTGACGAGAAAAATCACCCCCTGTAAGAGAAAACCAGGGCGTTAGCTCCAGCTGACTTTGGGCTGCAGAAAGCTGCCAGGGCTCTCAGGGTTTAGGGTTTAGGGTTTAGGGTTTAGGGTTCCCTCTCGACATGCTTCTGGCAGCAGAAGTGCAAAACTGCATCGCGAGCTAGCTGGTTCCTGGCCGCTGGCCTTGCACCCGGGCTCCTTCCAAAACCACCGGGCGCCACTCCTCCCCAGGCAGGGCCTCTTGCACGGGAAACCTGAACTCCCAATGGTAAGGGGTACTGCTGGGTGCTTGCATCTTGCAAATTGCAGAGATGGCGCTCTCCTTGATCCCAGTATGCACGGCAGCAGCTCTGATGGAAGGAAAATGTGCCCAGCCGACGTTAGCTTCCTTTCTGCGGGCCTCCACTGCCTTGGAGGTTCCAGACTTTCCTGCGCGCCCGTTTGCGTATGAGTGCGACACGTTTTCAGAGGGTGTGACGTATTCCAGATTTGCGAGAGTGTTGTTTCCAGGGTTGCCGTCCTTGTGGTTGACTTGCATCGTCATCGATGCCGGCTCGCCAAGAAAAGTGCCTGCAACGAGCCGATGCACCTTGTAGTGCCGGCCCCCTGCCTTAATTCTAAAGTACCCATCAGGCTGGCGACTCCCGCATGTTGTGTGGCTGTGGTGTCGAGTCAAAAACCGAACCCGCCCGTGATTGCTCACCATCAAGCCTGGTATTGGAGGAGTTTCGCCTGGATGTCGGCCAAGCTTCCACGACTCTCCGTGCAGTATGTCGTGCTCTGTTGGACTGGCTGCCGACTCAAACTCGTACCTTGCACTGTCTCCGGCTGCTGATTTTTGCAGCCCGCGGCAGCAATTCGAGACTGATTGCCGGCTTACCCCACATGTGAGGGCAGCTTCCCTCTGAGAGGAGCACCATGACCATGCTTCGTCCCCGCAAAGTCGCCAAAGAACAGATTTTCTGCGCAAAGTTCCTCCGGTTCTTCGCTGCAGATTGCTGCTCCAAGAATGCGCTGCGTTTTGGGATGCTGTCGCCCACTCCAAGTTGTGGACATGGTTGTTGGAACGATCACCATCGACATGGTTCACCTGCCAGTGGTCTGCCGTCGGCGGCAGGCCCAGGAATGTAGTGGCAACCAGCCGATGCACTTGGTACCGAGCTCGGGCTATGCACACGGCTCTGTACCCAGAACGTGTCAAGCTTCCGTAGGTGACCGAGCCACTAGCTACTTTGATGCGCCCCCAGGAGCTGACATACCAAGCTCCTGCCGCACCGGGTATCTGCGCGCTGGAGAAGTTGCACAGGGAAGCATGCCAGTGGCAGACAAACTTCTGTGGAGCAAGCCTTCCAAAACTAGACAAGGTCGACATATGGCAGGCATCCACAAGTGTGCACGCAGCCGGTCAAATCTTTGCGCACGCTGCGGTACCAAGCCCATGAGCAGCAACTGGTTAGCTAGTTCGCTTCCCAATCGGTCCAAATCGAACAGGATCTTGACCCTTGGCTCCCTGTACATCAAGGGTCCACCAAAACCGCAAGCAGCGCTAAAGGGAGATGGGGGTGGAGGAGTTGGTAGTACGGTGTGTTTTGTCTGAAGCTTGCTCCGCAGAGCTAAATCAGGACGTCAACCCTATCGGATAGTTGTAATAAAGACAATAGGGGCCTTGTTTATCAGAATGGGACTTTGGGAACTGTACGTTGTATTTGTGTAAAGATGAATAACAAAAGGGTTCGTGACAAGTAGGCTCCCGTAATTAGCACAGTCCACAGAGCCCGAAGCAGGCCTCTCTCTGCAGATGGCCATGGAGCTGAGGCAAGCTCCTGGCTGTCCCCTTTAGCAAAGTCAATAGCCAACCCGAAACCCTAAACCCATAGACCCTAGACCCGACAAAGGTGCCTAGATCGGAAGAAGTAGGGGGAGGCTAGCTTTCCGGGGGCGTGGAGTACGGTCTGCGGAAGTTTGGGGTGGGTGTGTCCCACCCTGACTGTAGACAAACTGAGTCCTTGCAACCCTAAAACTGCAAGCTCGGGTTTTTGCCCAGGCGCTTGGTGCCCTAAAATTCCTTAAATTCTCTACCCCTCAAGCCTTTTCGAGCCCAGACTCTTGATGTCTCATTTCAAGCCCTAAACCCAGCTCCAAGAGTTGCGGATCATGCCGGCCGTGGCCGCCTCCATGGCCCTGAAGCCCAGGGGATGCGAGCGTTTGCAGGCTTGCGAAGTTCGAGGTTGAGGGTTTAGGTTGAAGTATGGCTTTTTAGGGTTTATGCAGGGTTTGGGGTTTGGGGGGGGTGGGTGCTATGGTTTTGTGCTATGAAGTATGAGTGTGCTTTGGGTTGGGGTGGTTTTTTAGAAGGGCTCTTGTTGGAGGGTTGGCGTAGGGTACTGGGTGTAGGGGTGTGTTCAAGTTTTCGGTTGCCACCTTCATCGTCATGTGGGTCAGTACGCCCTTCGTGCTGTCATGACTGTCATGGGCCGAGCCAGGGTCTCTTCCACCTTGCAAGCCTAGTTCGCGCATAAGGGCTGAGGAATGTTCAAGATACAAGCCCGCAAAAGCTTCGTGGGTTCCAACGAGGAGTGCAAACACCCGAATAACGAAAAGCCCTACACCGCAGCAAAATTGTAAGAGCTCCTTGTAGCGTTGTGAGGACTTGCTGGCTTGGTTTGGAGACTAAGCCAGCTTTCAGTACTCCAGGAGGTCACCTACTTGCCACTGGACCCTAAACCCTGCAACCTCGAACCTCCTCCCGTTACTCCCGTTCTTTTTCTCTTGCCGCGGCTTGCGCGGCTTCCTCCGCTTTCTGCCGGCCCCAGCGGGAAGACGAATGGGCCAGAACTCCGCCTCTTGGCAGGTTGGGGCGGCAAGCTGAGAAGGCCCAAAGTTTCAACAGCCCATCTGGCAAAAGGCTACCCTAAGAAGCTCGAAGCCTTGGGATGTTCCCCTTATACGAACAGTCCTTAGTTGGCACTCTAGTAGCCCCTGTTATCATCCCTATTAAGGACTGTTAGTCTAAGGGGGAAGATCCCAGTCTAAGCCCCCCATGTGTATGTAGATGCGCAGAACGTCCCCAAGTTCTAAACCCCAGACCCTAACCCAAAAACATCCCTCGGTACTTGCTACCACGCCTGTGACTACCCGTGACAGGATATGTCTGGCTAGGACATGACTGGGCGTGCAAGAAAAACCCCACGCATAACATCAATTCGATCTGTGCAAAAGCACCAAACAACAGGACCGCAGCGCTCAACTCGAAAACCCAAGCTCTTTGGCGCGCAAGACACACCCCTCCACCAGAGAAAAACACAAAAAACACTAGACCCTAAATCCGGAACCCTCAAAACCTCCAAAACCATAAACCCCCAAAACGCGAGAGGCCCCCCGTTTGTCTTTCCACCATGGACTTGTGCAATCGCCCGTGACCCTAAACCCTAAACCCTAAACCCTAAACCCTTTCTTCTCTACCAGAACTCTCCCTAAACCCTAAACCCTTTCAGACCCAGACTTCTCTCCTAAACCCGAAACCCTAAACCCTAAACCCTAAACCCTAAACCCTAAACCCTAAACCCTAAACCCTAAACCCTACCAACATCATTCAAAGGATTGGCGCCTCGGGCCCGGCGATTGACGGCGGCCGCGAGATGAACTCAGAAGTCCCCAGGCCGGAGCCGTCCAAGACCACGACCCCCAGTTTCCTCAAGGGTTCAGGGTTTAGGGTTTAGGGTTTGGGGTTTGGGGTTTAGAGTTTGGGGTTTGGGGTTTGGGGTTTAGGGTTTGGGGTTTGGGGTTTGGGGTTTGGGGTTTAGGGTTTGGGGTTTGGGGTTTAGGGTTTGGGGTTTGGGGTTTAGGGTTTGGGGTTTAGGGTTTAGGGTTTGGGGTTTAGGGTTTGGGGTTTGGGGTTTAGGGTTCAAGGTTTGGGGTTTAGGGTTTGGGGTTTAGGGTTTTGGGGTTGGGGTTTAGGGTTCAAGGTTTGGGGTTTAGGGTTTGGGGTTTAGGGTTTGGGGTTTGGGGTTTAGGGTTTGGGGTTCAGGGTTTAGGGTTTGGGGTTTCGGGTTCAAGGTTTGGGGTTTAGGGTTTAGGGTTTGGGGTTTGGGGTTTGGGGTTTGGGGTTTGGGGTTTAGGGTTCAAGGTTTGGGTTCAGGGTTTAGGGTTTAGGGTTCAAGTTTGGGGTTTAGGGTTTGGGGTTTAGGGTTCAAGGTTTAGGGTTTAGGGTTCGGGGTTTCGGGTTCAGGGTTTGGGGTTTAGGGTTTATGGTTTAGGAGTAGGGTTCAGGGTTTGGGGTTTAGCGTTTCGGGTTTAGGGAGTTAAGGTTTTGAAGGGTTTGGGCTTGTTAGGGAAAAAGTGTTTCCGACAGTTCACACTGTAGGGTTACGGTTGCTAAAGCTTCTTTTTGAAATTGGCCGACAACGCTATTAGGGTTTAGGTACACTTTAGGGGTTTTAAGGGCTGATAAACCTTCCTTTTTGCCACGTAGCTGTTGGGGTTTGGGGCTTATGGGGTTTACAGGGCGTACTCCGTTCCTAGGGTTGGTAACAAGAGCCTCGACCGGCATCGGTTTGCAGCAGTTGGTTCTAAGCTATGGGCACAAGAACATCACCAAACCCAAAACCCCCTAAACCCTTTTTTACGGCAAGGACTGCTGCACTGCTAGCCTGGGACGAAACCATAAACCCTAAACCCTAAACCCTGAACCCCGAACCCTAAGCTCAAACCCGGAGTGTGCTGGCATTGGGCATGAATGCAAGTAGATGCACGCTGCCGCTCGTATCCCCGCAACGTGTGCACAGCAGCGCCTAGCTATGTCGTGCCATCTCTTCGCCACACATGCCCCACACAAGATAACAGCTTGCGACCGGCCGTTGACATTATGGTGCCTGCGATGATATTTTATCTGCCGATTGGGGCCTCCTAGCAGCAAACGGCTTGAGCCGTAGCCATTTCCCAGCCCTATAAAACCCTATAAACCCTAAACCTCAGGGATGTTCCAGGATCCTATAAGCCCCCAAAACCCTAAACCCAAGAAAAAAAAAAAAAACCAGGATCCTCCCACGAAGCGGCCCCTCTCAAGAAGCTACTGGTCCGGGCGTCTCCAGGCTCTTCACCAAGGAGAGCGATGCCCCGTGCATGAAGACCAGCGCGCCAGGGCCCAGCTCATCAACGTAGCCTAGGAATCGGCTAACCAGTGTTCACTACTACTTGCTCAAGAGCCCCCCCCAAAAAAAATCAACATATCTTCTTTCTCATCAGGGTCACGTAGGGGTTAGTATCTTTTATGTTGTGGGGGGGGGGTCTTCAGCAAAATAGTGACGGATTTAGGGTTAGGAAAGAGCTTTAGGGATTCTGGCGCCTTTTTGGGCACCCGTCGGCCGGCCCGTAGGATTTAGGTTCTCAGGTTTTGGGGGGTTTGGGGGGGGGGTTTTGAGGGTGGTGTTTTTTTGGGTTTTGGGCTTGCAGGGGCTTGGGGACGTCGAGGATTAAGGGTTTTTGCTTGGGGTGTCGGGTGGTTTCAGGATTGAGGTCCGGGTTTCTCGGCCACCAACTGATGCCGGAGCGCCGCTCGGCAAGAACTACTTGAAGGTTCGGGGCACTTATTACCCAATTATAACTGCACTCATAACCCAAATTGTAAACATATTAGGGAATAAGTACCCTGAACCTCCAAGTGGTCCAGGTTACGCCTAGCTGACTAAACCTCGCACTGCAGGGCACACCCTCCTTTGGAGTAGGCCTCTGAATAAAAGTACTGAGTAGCTATAATCGGAACTCAGAACCAAAACAGGTATGAAAGTATCCCTAAACCCTAAACCCTAAACCACACGTCCTTGAAGAGAAAAAATGAGCCGACCCGTCGCAGTTTGCACTAGACTGCGTAGCCTCACCCCCTCGCCCTGTCATCACGCCAGTTACACCATCAAATGGGGTTTAGGGTTTAGGGTTAGGGTTTAAGGGTCCAGGGCCTAGGGTTTCCTGCAACTCTCTGTGACTACGGCTTGGCTTTTTTGGGGTTTAGGGTTTAGGGTTTAGGGTTTTTGACTCGGGTATATCGGGTATCATAGCTCATCTGTAGGTGAAGAGACCCTAGACCCTGAACGGGGCTTTGAGTTTTTAGAAGCTGGGCGGGGGGGGGGGGGGGGTTAGGGTTGAAGAAGGGTGCACGAAGTGCCCGCACTCCCCGATAATCACGCAGAGATTCCCGCAGTGCATCCCCATCTCTACACCTAAGACCCCAATTGGGGGGGGCGGGCGGCGGAGGGCTTAGGGTTTAGGGTGTAAGGTGTAGGGTTTGGTGGGTTTAGGGTTGGCAAACCTGTGCGGGCCAAATGGCGCTTTGCTTGCTTGAGGAGCTTGGGTCCAAGTATTCTGTTGAAGGAAGTTCCGTAGAAGCTCTTGCATTCCATCCACCTTCTCAGCATGCGCAAGGGCCGCAAGAGTTGTGTTCTGGTCATGGGAGGCAACGCTGCAAACTGCCGAGAGCACTTCGCCCGTTGCTAGTTTTATTGACACTGCTGCCAGAGGAAGAGGCTGCCTCAACATGCTTCCGGCTGCATCAACATTACACCTCAAGGAGGAAAAGCACCTTGCAAACCTTGCCGCGGAACCCTAAACCCTAAACCCTAAACCCTAAACCCTAAACCCTAAACCCGAAAACCCTAAACCCTAAACCCTAAACCCTAAACCCTAAACCCTAAACCCTAAACCCCAAACCCTAAACCCCAACCCTACGCCAAGATCAGCAGTTCGACGCGCCAGGCCTGATCATCCGATCATGCGGAATCTGCAGCTGCACTGGTGCATCAAAGAGCCTGTACTCCCCCTGGAACCTTAATAAACAGAATATTATTTTAAAAATGATTTTAAATGTCCTCTTGAAAGTATAAATATTTTTTAAATATCCTCTTGAGTGTTTATATAAACAGAAACAAAAAACACATTCCCAAAGGGGGATATAGGAGCAGGTCCGGTGTGCCTTTGACAGCCTCCGACAACATGAGCTCCTCCTCTGTCTGAAACGAGATACCTGAGGAGCGGCAGGCCCAGTAATATAGCCGTAATAGGGTTTTTTTGGGGTTTAGGGTTTAGGGTTTAGGGTCTAGTGTTTATCTTTTTTGCCTTCTTTCGCCACCTGCCTAGTTCACCAAGTGGCACTGCAGGGCTTCTGTGCACGAAAGTTCTCGGGAAGCTGGCTACTCAGGCGACTTCTTGGTTTGTTACTCAACCTCCCTGCCCTGGGAAATCCAAACCCGGTTTAGAGTGTAGAGATGAGGCATGGAAGCTGAGTGCGGTCCGGCTGGGGTCCCAAGATGTGCGATTGCGTGCTTACTGGGGCGCTGGGGTGTGCATGCTCTAGCTTCACAAGGACGGGGATTGTAAGATGCGGCCATCAAAATAGCACCATCTTATCCAGTAGGCGGTCGAATGCTATAAATCTTGGCTCTAAGCCCAAAACCCTAAACCCTTAAACCCTAAACCCTAAAACCCTAAAAACCCTAGGTTCTCAGCCAATTCTGCTGTACGAATTCACTGAATCAGCTTCAAGCCACCAGCATCTCTGCAGATCTCCCCCACGTCGTGCTCGAACGCAGTTGCTGTGAGTCTTGCTTGTGCCTGCCCGGCCTCTGCATCATTCTCCTTGCCAGGCAAACCCTAAACCCTAAACCCTAAACCCTAAACCCTAAACCCTAAACCCTAAACAATGCGCTTTCAAAAATGTCCGACCCTTTGCACAGACTGAAATAGCGTCTCTCGCAGTCCGAACCGCAGACTTGAGCAGTGGCTACAAAACAGTAGCTGAGCTTCGGAACTCACATCAGAACGCCTTGGACATCAATGGCACCCCACCTGACTCCAGCCCCCAAGCAACGAAATGAATCCTCACCCTACATAGAAAGCCCCAAAACCCAGGTTTTTTTGTAGGCTATTGCTATAGAACCCGCTTATGCGATCTTAAGGCCACTAGCCTGCAAGCAAAACATGTGACCCTAAGCCCTTAAACCCTAAACCCTAAACCCTTTTTGAACCCTAAACCCTAAACCCCAAACCCTAAACCCTAAACCCGCTCTTCAGGGAAGCCCCGATGTGGCGAGCGAGGGTCCACGGTCCAGAGAACTTCGCGAAGCGCCCAGGGATCCAGCGGTTTTGCAAGGGCCTCTTGTAGGACTTCCTGCCTGGAGCGTGAGGGTTTCTGCTGCCGTTAGGGTTTAGGGTTTAGGGTTTAAGGTTCAGGGTTTAGGGTTTAGGGGTTAGGGCGTTTAGGGGTTAGGGATTAGATGGTTTTCGCCACCCGAACTGCCCACTCTCTCGCGCGACTCCGCAGGGACAAGTCGAGGACTCACTTAATACTGACTCAGGGGTACCCCACTCCTGAACACGCAACCCCAGAGATCGATGATGGCTTTAGATTAGGGAGTTTAGGGTTTAGGGCCATACCAGACGGGGTAACCTTTGTGTGTCAGTGGTCACAGAGGGACGCCCCGGCACGGCTCTTTCAAGGAGTTTACAGGAGTTTAGGGTTAAGGGTTTAGGGCTTAGGGTTTAGGGCGAGAGTGTGTCTTAGCAAGCTGAGGAAATCGAGGGTGCCCGTTTTGTTCTCAGGGGTCTGTACGGGAGAATGAGGGTTCAGGGTTTAGGGTTTAGGTTGAAAGAATGAGGGTACGACAGAGGGCTTGGCTGAAGTGGAGAAAACCTTTCACTGTCAAACCTAAACCCCAAACCCTGAGCCCTACACCCTAACCCCTATAAGCCTTAGAAGCCTTAGAAACCCTATTAAAAGAGACTATAAACCCTATCATATCCTGTAAACCCCTAGAAACCCTATCAACCCCATCAACCCCATCAACCCCTACAAACCCTACCAACCCTAACCCCTAAACCCTGCTGACCAAGCCACGCTTCTTGCTCCCAGGAGTCCGTGAAGGATCTTTCTTCTAGCGCGCTGGCCAGCAGCCCGAACAGCTCAGACAGCGTCCGTCCCTGCCTTCGTGTTGTCAAGGGACTAAAGGAGGGACCCTTCTACAGTAAGGCACAGGATTATTTAGGGGCTACATAGGTATAGAAGGACCATATTACAAGTACCCCTTAAGTGTTGTGTTGGGTGGCCCAAAGGGTTTATTCGGTGTTTGGGGTTTAGGGTGTCGTCTAGGATAAGCGGCTATACGGCACAGAAATAGGGCTCATGCAACGCCCGGAGCTCACGAGGGGACAACCTAGGGACCATGTGTGTGCTCCATGCAAAACGGGACTGCAGAACCCTACGAACCTGAAGTCGCTCAGGCGACCCAGAGAACAAAAAAAAAACCGAAACCCTAAACCCTAACTCCTAAACCCTATAAACCCCAAACCGCAGGATGAGCGGCAGATCCTCTTCTGTGAGGATGTGCTTCAGAACGCTGCTCGGGGGCATGTTCATCTCCCCTCAGGGCTTCTTGTGAAGGTTCAAGTTCTGAGGGGCTCTTACTGCCAAACAAGCATCTGACTTAGGGTTTAGGGTTTAGGGTTCAGGGTTCACGGTTCATATGCTTCTAGCCCTAGCGGGCACGCATCAGGGCACCAATTCGTCAGTCTCTCGGGTAAATGTAACAGAAAGGACGGCCACAGGCGTCACGATCCCCCCAGTGAGTGTAGCAGAAACAAGTGAGTTGCAAGAAGCCGCGGCCCCAACTAGCACTAGGACAACCTCACCGGAAGTGTAACAGCAAGGCCCCCCTCTCCCGACCGCTACAACACCCCCCAAACCACCCTAAACTCTAAACCCCAAACACCAAACCCTAGGCCCTAAACCCTAAACCCAACCATCCCCAACCTCAATCCTTAGAGTGTCCCAGCTGCTGGACAGAACGGGCACGCATGGCACCTGAGAGAGCAAGCCCTGAAAGGCTGATGGTAGTGGGAGGACATCGCGAAGTGAACCGTAGGCCGTAGGCAAACTACCTGGGGTTTAGGGTTTAGGGTTTAACCTGAAACCTGTAAACCCCATAAACTTTGTAACCCTAAAAACATCTATAAACCCTGTACCCCAAAAACTCTCTAAACCCCAAAAACTCTCTAAACCCCAAGCCAGCCAAAAAAGGCTAAGTAGCATGCCTCTTCTCTTCACGTGTGTAGACATCGAGTTGTACTCTACATGCATCCTTACACTTACACATCCGGGTTTCTTGGTGTTTAGGTTTTGGGGTTTCGAAGTTGTTGGCTACACGTATGCTTACACTTAGACCTGTACTTGTGCTTACACTTCCGCTTCCACTTCCACTTGCCCTTACCCGCACACTTACCCTTGCACTTGCACACAAGCACAAACACACTTCGGCACCACGAGGGCCAGGGCCGTCGAGTCTACCGAACCGAATCACCAACACAAACCTACAGTCCAAATGGGGGGTTTGATCTGAAGGTCCTTCTGGGAAATTGTTCCTATAGGGTTTAGGGTTTAGGGTTTAGGTAGGGAAATATTGGGCAATTTTTTGGGAGCAGAGATTTTGCTCAACTCCCAAATGGCACAGCGCAAGGCACTGAATGCCGAAGCACTTGCATTCCTCACTGCCTAACCGTTGGTTTACGAAACGGAAATGCTCCAACTTCCAGGACGACCCGGGTAACCTTAATGATTACAATTGGGCTTTGGGGGTTTTTGTGTAGTATAAAATGGTGGGACCATAGGGGAAGATCACTAGGAACCAGTCCGACCCCTATAGTATTGCCTAAACCCTAATTTGCAGGTGTCGAGCTATGCCATCCACCTGTTCAATCACTGTAAAAAGCTGCCAGCCCCTTGGCAAATGGTTCTGCGAACCCTGAACCCTAAACCCTAAGCCCTAAACCCTAAACCCTACACCCTAAACCCTACACACTAAACCCTAACCCTAAACCCTAAACCCTCAACCCTAAACCCTAAACCTTCGCTCCCCTGTGAGGCACCTCCGCCTGTCGCATCTTCAGGATGCGATTTCTGCTCGACGGCTTCTTCATCTCCTGCAACACCCGACTCCGAAGTTAAGAGCTCACGGTCGGGTTTCGGGTTTGGGGTTCCTAAACCCTAAACCCTAAACCCTAAACCCCAAACCCCAAACCCTCAACCCAAGCCCTAAGCCCCTTGCCTAGCTGACCAGAATTCGGATTGAGGGTTTGGAAAGGCCGATTTTGCAGGCAAAAAACAAATGGCCTTCTCACCAAGCCGCAGCCTTGTCCCTAACCCCGAAACCCTAAACCCTAGACCTATAAACCCTAAACCCTAAACCCTAAACCCTAAACCCAAACCCTAAACCCTAAACCCTAAACCCTGCTCTGCCCTCTCAGTCTATCCTTCTTGAGCCGGAAGCTATGGAAGAGAGTGGCGTTCATGCTGAGGACGCGCCGCATAGAAGCCGCCACCCTTAGCTGTACGCGGGGGTGCTCCTTTCCTCACCAGGATGGGCTATTATACTATTATACTATTGTACTATTATACTACTATACTATTATACTATTATACTATTATACTAAGTGAACATGGAAGCCTGTAAGGAAAAGGGCTCTTGGGCCTTTGAATCCCCCTAACCAACCCTCTAACGGGCCTTTCTAGTTATACCTTAGAAAGGCCCTTGAGAGGGTTGGTTCGAGGGATTCTAAGGCCTAATAGCCCTTTTTCCTTCAAGCCTGCCATGTTCACTTGCCCACTAACTAACAACCCCCCCCCCCCCCCCCCCCCCCCCCCCCCCCCCCCCCCCCCCCCCCCCCCCCCCCCCCCCCCCCCCTCCCCCCCCGCCCCCTTGATTGACGCTTGGGGTCGAAAGGGGCTCTGTTCTTAAAAAGGGCTGGCCACTTCTTGTCAAGGGAGCCCTGAAACCAAATCCCGTTCATCAGGATTTCATCCTTTTTAAATCGCGGGGCGGGGGTTTATAATTGAGTTCCGGGTCTTGGGTGCTTTTTATGCGGGGGGAGGGCGGGTTTGTTATCCATGCCAAGTCAACATTCTACACTTATAACCCTAAAACGACCTAAACCCTAAACTTCCTAAACACTGGTGCGCTGGCCGTGCTTTGAAGGAGGTGCGGAAAGAGGTGGGAATTCGAGCTTCGGATGCAGAGGTTGGAGGGTTTCTAGGGCTTCTAGGGGTTTTAGAGGGATCCTCGGGCCGGCGGGGTTATGGAGGGTTGATGGCCTTCAAGGGTGGTGAAAGCACTGGGGAGGAAGTGCTGACGATGTTGCTGTCTTCATGGCCTGTGAGAGGGATAGACAGGTTGCTCTGCACCCTGAAAGTTTAGGTACTGATAAGATCAAGGAATATAACCATACATAGTACACAGTGACACATCAACAAAAATCATTTACGAGATCAGACAGCAGCCTGCAGAGTTTGCCATTCCCATGCGTTATCCCTATCAGCTGCCCATGCTGCCCTTGCGCACCTGCCCGCAAAAGAAGAAGCACCCTCCCCCTTTGAATATGCTCTGAGGACATCGGCAACTCTGCGCCTTTGCAGTTTTCAGTGCCGTGGTCACGAACTTCCCGCCAGTGTTAGGAGCCCTGCTCGTCTCTTCCGTTAAGGGTTCAGGGTTTAGGGTTTAGGGTTTAGGGTTGTTTAGGGTTTTAGGTTTTAGGTTTTAGGGTTTAGGGTTTAGATCCCACTTCTTGCCGCAAGCAAGTGTCCCCGCGGACGGCACCCTCCCTTCCGGCAGCGAGCTTTGCCTAGGTGAAGCGCTGTACTTGGAGGTTAGGGTTTAGGGTTTAGGGTTTAGGGTTTAGGGTTTAGGGTTTTAGGGTTTAGGGTTTAGGGTTTAGGGTTTAGGGTTTAGGGTTTAGGGTTTAGGGTACTATAACTGCACTTATAACCCACTTATAAGACCCTTAAGTGACCTAACATGTTTATAAGTACAGTTATAATTGGTTAAAATAAGTACCATGAACCTCCGAGTCATGGGGGGGGCGCTCCTTGGCCACTGAACTCCAAGCATGTAGGGCTGGGAGGCAAGAGCTACAAGGAACGTGAGCAAACTCAAGCTTCCAGTGGAGAGAAACTCTGGATACGCAACTGCTGGGGTGCCGGCTCCGATGTGCAAGAGAACAGATATGGGGTGTCTCCGACATCAGGGGTACCTTGTTGGGGTTCTGAATAGCAGGGAATCCTGCTAGGCGGGGGGACTATATTCGGGGTCCCTTAGTTTTCGTAAACCCCCCCCCCATTTTGAGTTCGTGTCCAAGAGGCAGGGATTGGAGCATCCCCTCCATCTCTTCCGGCGCGAGCTGCGGTCAGACTTCAGATTTTGCTCTTGCCCATGACCAATGGGCTTCACAGCGAATGCTTTAGGCATTCTACGCAAAACTTTCTGGGCACATGGTCCATCAGGGTCCCCTTTGCAACCTGGGGTTTGGGGTTCAAGCTTCATAGAGCATGTTGAGGCGTTTTGATTGCACATGGTGACCAGTCAAACCCCAAACCCGAAATTCTAGATGCTAGGTTCCCCAGTTTCCAAGGAGAAAAAGGGCGCCCTTTGGTTGATGCTAGAAAACACCAGCCTTCCGGAAGTTGAAGTAGGATTTCGCAATCGTGTCCGCAATGACTTGCTCCTCCTGCGACCGCTAATAATGCGAAAGGTTGCTGGAAGCTTGTGCGCCCGCCTGCAAAGACGTCCTACCCGGCTTCAACATCCAGATTCTGGGATTCCACAGCCCAATCCGAAATCCCAAAACGACCCACACGCGAAAATTCAAGTCTCTCAACGTCCATGCAATCCCAGGCCTAAACCCTAAACCCTAAACCCTAAACCCTAAACCCTAAACCCTAAACCCTAAACCCTAAACGCTGATCTGCCCAAAGCCTCAGACCGCATCCTATTGACGGCTCCTTCTCCGTGAAGATCGGCACCAGTTCCTCTATCCAACACAGCTCCTGGCGCTTTTTTGTCAGGGAAGCTAGGGGTGTGGTAGAGCGTTCAAGAGCAGTGGGCTTCGTTCTGAGTAGAGGGCCCCAGCATGTGGAACCGAAGTACAGGAGTGCTGATGACAGTGCCGGGTTGCTGAAGGGCCACAACTGGTGTGGGCGGGCGTGACCTGCAGCAACCACTGACCATTCCTCCCACCGAATGCTTCAAAACCCTCTCGAACAAGTCCCGAAATCATGCTGCAGAGAGCTGTCTGGTTCCTATAAGGCCCCTCCGCTAAGCGCAGACGCTTCTCCCACCCTATATACGATCGCCAAGCGTGCGCGGAGGCACGAAGGATGGCGAATGCCGCTTTGCCGCGGCACGCTTGACAAGACGCCGGGAGGCTGCTGTGCCGGCCAGTAGGCAGAGAGCCGTCGAAGGGCCTGGGAGGGTGTTGTGCACGTGGAGACATCAAAACCCTAAACCCTAAACCCTAAACCCTATAAACCCTATAAACCCTATAAACCCTAAACCCTAAACCCTAAACCTCAAGGTTTCGGATTCTTGTTGTTAAAGTGGGAGCGAAGAGTTGCGAGGTGCGCTGCTCCTCAGTCCTCGGCTCGGAAGTCACCCCCATAAACCCTAAACCCTAGACCCTCAGCTTTGCCCGTGACTCGGTGAAAACTGATTCAAGGCTGCCTAGGCAGAAGGGCCGCTAGGCCTGTGGCTGATGCTCATGATGCTCATTACGACCGACTTGGCCGCCTAGCCCCCAAAGCCTGTGGCAGCTGATGCTCATGATGCCCGGTTTGGACTGCCTGTGGAGCTAATGCTCATGACGCTCGGTTTGGGCTGCCTAGTTGTCAAGGGCCTGTGGTAGCTGATGCTCCTGCCTAGCTGCCAAAACCTGTGGCTGATGCTCATGATGACCGGTTTGGTCACCAGGCCTGTGACAGCCGAGCTGCCTAGCTGTCAAGGACCTGTGGCAGCTGATGCTCATGATGATCGGTTTGGCTGCCTAGCCCCCAAAACCTGTGGCTGATGCTCATGATGACCGGTTTGGCTGCCTGCCCCCCAAGGCGGGCCTGTGGCAGCTGATGCTCATGATGACCGCTTTGGCTGCCTAGCTCCCGAAAACAGCCCATCCAAGCCCTGTAAAAACCCTGAAGGACTTCAAACTCCACAGTGCCGATGCGCCTGGTCTCCTCACCGCAGGCGCCGCCCTCGCGCCAGGTGTGCAAGCTCCGCAGCCGGGGCATGGCAAGGAGGTGCGGTGAGGAGCACCGGCGACCAACATCCGTGCAGGGGTTCAGGGCTCAGAGGGTTCTAGGGTTTAGGGTTTAGGGTTTAGGGTTTAGGGTTTAGGGTTTAGGGTTTACTAGCTAGGAAACCCGAATGTTGGGACCTTTCTTGAGGGCTTTGGCCCAGCAACCTCAGAATGACAAAAGGGCGGCCTTTTCTTGGGTTACAAGGGTCGGCAGCGCAAGCTAAGCCCTACAACATGGAATAAGAGCACTGCTGGGCTGGGCATCCGGAATACAGCAAAGCAACAAAAAAAGTGCCTGGTGCAACCTATAGTACGTAGCACGGACTGCAGGATACGGCCCCTGTTGGGCTTTGGGCAAGTTCGTGTTGGGATACCCGTACCCCCCCTCCCCCCCCCTTCCCCCCTCCCCCAGCCGTTGCCTGTCCAGCCCTAGGGCGCTGCTCTGCAGGCCCTGGGGCATCATCTCTGACCTGGCCGGCTTTCGGCATCGAAACTCGAAGCCCGCTCTAAACCGCGAGTGCGGATAGTCCGCACACAACGACCTGCACCTTTGAAGGCGGGTACCGGTACGGTGCAGAGAATCTCTATTCTCTCACTGCCGGAGTTGCCGGAACATGAAGCCGCGCAGCGTTCGGAACTACACATCTGCAGAACCACCCGACCCTCGCCCTGAAGCCGCGTGCCCTCAAGTAAGCCCCGTTCGCAAGGCGAGCACCTCACTGGCGGCAGCTCCTCGCCAAAGCGGGCGCCCTTCTGCCGCAGCGCGCGCTGCGCACCGCGCAGCGTCACAGAGGAGGGGAGCCTCGCTGAGCATGTTGGCATGTTGCTGAGACTTGCTCATGAGGTTTAAGTAGTGTATAGGGCTTGGAGGCATGCGCGGGTATGCACCCTTTTCCAAGATACCTCGCCCATATGCACCCTAAACCCAGAACCATAAACCCTAAGCCCGACAAACCCCTTTTTGAACGATAAACCCTAACCCTGAACCCGAAACCCTGAACGCTAAACCCTAAACCTGCTGAACCAGCCTTCCACCAGCCCCGCTGTCGTCGGAATCACCCCCAGGATCCGGAGGCGGTGGGGGATCTGCCAAGACAGAGCAGCAAAGTCGTACTTAGAGTCAGAAGAAGGATCGCCTGCCTTTCGTTTTACACGGCGCGGTCTCTGATTTCACCGCTGCCTTTCGTTTTAGGGTCTACAGGGTTTAGGGTCTTAAGCTCTCCAGAATCCCCTCGCCTGAGCCCCCAAGTACCCTTTCAGATATCCTTAAATTACTCTCAGACACAATTCCATTGAGGCTCTGATGATAAGCATAAAAGTGCCCCGGGGGATCAGGCGGAAGACGGCCGAAGGCTGCTCTTCTCGTCGCCTTTTGTCATCAAAACTGCCTGAAGGTCCTTGGGCTTATTGTGTATCGAGGGGAGGGTGGGGGCCCTGCTTTGTTAGGGTTGTAGGCTTCAGGGTTGTTATTTTTATTTTATTTTATTTTTTTATTTTTTGTTGGGGGGGGCGGGGGGGGGTAGGGGTCTTGTCTTACTATACAAGAGAACTGAGAACTCAGAACAACCCTTAGATCTAGATGTCCTAGCCGCCAGAGCCCCTGTGAGGAGAAGCTGAGCTGCCTCGAGGTGGCCGCGGGCTCGGGGACTTCGCCTGCAAAGCGAGGAAGACAACAGCGGACTAGTCTGACGAATGACATCCCCAAGCTGAAATTCAGACATTTAGGGAACCTAACCCTAGACCCAAGAGTAACGGGGCTTACTTAAACCCTTAAAAAAAGGGGAGTAAGGGCCCCGTGAGCATGCCAAAAAGGCCTCGTGGCTTGATCCTTCCAATGGCCAAACCCTTACTTGGGGACCGAATGCACATATGCCCAACACTACTGTAGAACTACACCCTGAACCTAAACACTATGAAGGTATAATGATGACTATAAAACCCTTGTACAACACTACTGTAGACTTACACCCTAAACCCTATGAAGGTAAGACCTTTACTATAATGACTATAAAAACCCTTGTAAGCTTCATTTAGCTCTGACGGCTTGGGAATCCCCATGGGCAGAACGCACTCCCGCCTTCGGCTGCTTCACTTTCTTTGATTTCGGAGGTCGTGGAGGGGGCTCCTCGACGTAGGGTTTAGGGTTTAGGGTTTAGGGTTTAGGGTTTAGGCTTTAGGGTTTAGGGTTTAGGGTTTAGGGTTTAGGGTTTAGGGTTTAGGGTTGAGGGAGACTTAGGTTAATTGAAATCTGGGGTTATTAGAAGTAGGGTAGCTGCAGCATATTACCCCGAGCTCTGGGCTTGTGTGGGGTTTCTGCTGAACCCTAAACCCTAAACCCTAAACCCCAAACCCTAAACCCTAAACCCATGAACCTCGAAGTAGCAGAAGTACCAACTCGAACCATTGAGCTCCAGGATCTCCTTCGGCCCCTTCTTCAGGGCTAACGGGCTTTACAGCGATAACTACAGTAGTAGGGTTTGGGGTTTAGGGTTTAGGGTTGACAGGGTTTTTGTTTTGCCACCCGCCTAGCTGACACTCGGGCCACATTGCAGGGACTCATTCCGAACAATATGCATACATCGAAGAAAAGTAAAATTGGAGCCTTTAAAGGGAACGCAGAAAAGCTCTTGCAGACATCTCAGCGACTCAGGTTTTCAGGTGACTAAAAGGTTTATGGTTTTCTTCCGTCAGGGTTTAGGGTATTGGGGTGTGGGTCTGCATTCAACCTCCTGACCTCTGCGACGTCGTTCTCAACCCGAATAGAAACCCTAAACCTCTACAGTTGTTGCAAAACGCCAATGCCCCTCTAGACCCAAGAGTAACCTCAGGAATAAAAGGGTACTCTATTTTTGGGTTCAAGAGGATTTATTTCATGGAACCTAAACCCTCAAGAAAAAGGGAATAAGGGCCTATGGGTCCTAGCCCTTAAGCCCAGACCATTCGCACAGTGCTGAACCCCAAGCCCTACACCCTAAACCCGAAACCCTTAACCCTAAACCCTTTTTGCAACTGGGACTTGGTGACTGCCAGAAAGGAGCCCCCACTTCACACACCCGCAAACCGCAGCACCCTAAACCCTAAACCCTAAACCCCAAACCCAAAACCCTAAACCCTAAACCCTAATCCTTGAAGGGTCCTGCGAGGCTTGGGAGCTCTGCCTGAGCCCGGCAAGGCCGACCCAGTCGACGCTGGGCTTCGCCTCCTCCTCGCGCCTGCGTGTTTGGGTTTAGGGTTTGGGATTTGAAATTTGGGGTTTGGGGTTTGGGGTTTAGGGTTTGGGGTTTGGGGTTTAGGGTTCGGGTTCTATAGGGACCTCTGTGTAAGGAAGGGCAAAGAACCCAAAAGACTTCTCGGTTAGGATTAGGGAGTTCCCTCGATGATGCGGCCCCGAAACCCCAAACTTTTGAACCCAGGCTCAATCATGTCCAGAAACTAACCCTAAACCCTAAACCCTAAACCCTAAACCCGACCAGATCGTGGCCTTGCGAACCTCTGCTGGTGTTGGGTGGGAGTGTTTTTTTTGGCACCAGAGGGTTGAGGGTTTGGGGGGGTGGGGGTGGGGCGGGTGGGGGGGTGGGGTGGGTGGGGGGGTGGGGTGGGTGGGGGGGGGGTGGGGAGGTTGAGGGTTTGGGGGGGGGGGGGGGGGCGGTGAGCGTTTCAACCCGTTTTACAGCAGCCTCCTAACCCCTAAGCCCTGACACCCATCTAAACCTATCTAAACCTTGGACCCCAAAACCCTAAACCCTAAATTACCCTACCCCCCCCCCCCCCCCCCCCCCCCCCCAAAAAAAAAAGGCGGTGCCTGTACTCTGCCAGCGTAGGGCCTCGCCGGATCCAGGGGGCAGCCTCCAGTAACTAACGCGTTTTTGGTTGTTTTGTCTTTTTTCGGGGGCCCTTAAACCCTGAACTTTTCTTTGCCCTAAACCCTCCGGTCTTGAGGAGTCGGCCCCCCAAACCCTGAACCCTCGCTTTGGTCTTCGGCTGTTGTTTGCCCGGACGCCTTTGGGTATCGTTTGGGCAGGGCTCAAGGGTCGGCGTTCCCTAAACCCTAAACCCTAAACCCTAAACCCTAAACCCTAAACCCTAAACCCTAAACCCTAAACCCTAAACCCTGAACCCTTTGCGAGCTTTTGGCTTCTGGAGGGCGTCCCTGAAGCCACCCGGCCTTGCGCCACTCCGCGCCCGTCTTGAGCGCGGCCTGGCACGGCAGAAGTCCGCCCCCAATGAGCCCTGGGTTTAGGGTTTAGGGTTTAGGGTTTAGGGTTTAGGGTTTAGGGTTTAGGGTTTAGGGTTTAGGGTTTAGGGTTTAGGGCGTAGGGTTAGGGCTTAGGGCTGAGGGCGTAGGGTTTGGGGCTCTCCAAGTAGGATCTCCAGCGACTTAGGGTTGGAGGTTCATGGTACTTCTCAACCAATGAGAGCTGTACTTAGAACCCAAATTGTAACCACATGGGGGGCACTCAAGGGACTTATACGTGAGCTATAACTACAGTTAGAATTGGTTCATAAGTACCCTGAAGCTCCAAATACACCCTGAACCCTGAACCTTTAAAGCCTTAAGAACCCACATGTGCGCGCTTCACGCGGCAGAAGCCTTGAAGCAAAGGGATCCAGCGTGGAATCTGAAATCCGCACAGCACATGTCATGATACGTAGGATGACCGTATACACTACCCTTTTGCCAGGTCTCTCTCAAGTGCCTGCCGAAACCCTAAGCCACCAAAACTATAAGGCGAGACTCTTCAGCAATTATGAAGGCTTCTACATACTGTATTCAACCCAGACTTGCCTTGATCTCCTCCACCTCTTCGAGGCTCTGGGCTTTCCTAGGCCCAACGTTTAGGGTTTCGGGTTTCGGGATTACGGGATATAGGGTGAGGGTTTAGGGTTTAGGGCAAAAAAAAAAGTGTCACTGCAGTTTTTGCACCCGAAGCTGTCAAGCCTGGCGCATCCCAGCCCTGGCAACAAGAGTCAAAAGCCTATAGCACTCCGAGAGAAGAGCCCCGCCGCCTCTTGAACCCCCATAGAGGTTTGAGGATCCTCGGCTTAAGGTGCATCATGGTGCATCTTCTGGGGGGTGGGCCCCTTTCTGCTGAGCCCGAAGCCCCTTCCCACAGCTGGGCCGAGGCGCAGCACTGCGGACTTGATCTTCGAGAGCCTCTCGCGATCCTGGGTTGGAACGCCGCATATCGGGTTGTGGTCGAAGGGCCCCAGAACTCCAGAACCTTCAACTCCGAATTCCTTCGCGCGCACGCGCGCACGCGCGAGCCAAGTGAGTGCTGCCCAAGAGGCCGAAGGGGGCCTTGGCTGTGAGGGCAAACTGGGAGACCAAGGGCTCGAACGCGTCGTGTTTTGTCCCATTGTGGGGGGGGCTTTCGGGCTGCATGTATAGGGGAAGAGCAAGTAATCTCCAGGGTTCAAAGAGGGATTTCGTTGAGGGCATCTTTGTTTTGTCGATTTTTGCGGGTTCAGGTCAGGTCTGTCTCTCTGCAGTCTGCGGCGCAGAATTTTGGGGTCGATTTTTCGGAGAGGGATCATTTTCAGGGCTTTGTGCCGGCAAAAAGTGATGCCAGGGTGCCCGTAGTTCGCTTCGAGGTCCTGCATCCGAAGAAAAGCAGCTCAACCGCAGGCATGGCCCTCGATTCTTACGTCGGGGGGGCGATGTTTCCGATGGCTCGCTGGCAGAGTCCCCCCCCCTGCCCCGAATGAACTACTAGTTTCTTCGATCTTGCTTACGGGCCGGTCATGCAAAATGAGCCTCAAGCCAACGCTTGCAGTCTAGCATTGCAACAATTACAGATACATGGGGAACATTATCGAAACGAAACGTGCTGAAGACGCAGGGAATTTCCGAAACCACGGCCACCACGCCCAGAAGTAGGACCCACGTCAGCTCCTCATCGCTGGAGCTCTCTGGATCCTCTCCGTTGCGGATCTTGAAGTACCGGGTCACCTCCTTCCTGGCCTCTGCTAACCGGCCGCAACCCAAAAAGTTGAAATTCTTCTCTCCAGCCTTCCCACAGAACTCAAGTGCGCCTCTACACCCCTGTAACTAGGGAAGATGCCCGCGACCTGCTTGGGGATCCTCGTTGTGGAAGCATCACAAATTCCTTCTGATTCAGGGCTGATTGGGCTCCCAGGGGCTTATTTCAGGCTTCCGGCTCAAGGCTCCCAACACCATGCTATATGAAGTAGGGTTTATATTTCTTGTACTGCGGACCGGAGGTCGTGAATCATATCAAGGTGAGACAGCTTAGATTTGTACTAAGCACGGTTAGCGAGCACACAACATCAGTGGTCGAGAACGTGAATTAACTGATCAATGGTTAAGCATCGCAAGGATAGATGAGATAGAGTCAATGGTGTCATCAAAGCGTTGAACCCAATCAGCGACCGTGTCTGCGTCAAGCAGCACAGCTTTGAAGCAAAAATATTGAAGCATGTCAGGAGCTTTGCAGAAGAAAATCTGTCGCTTACAGAAATGACAACGGAAATCCATTGTCCACTCAGAGGAAAGGATGTGTGGAAGGCGTGCATCGTTTAAATGAGCAAGCTCCATCACCCTGAGAAAATGTTTTTTGAAGCATTCATATCTCCTCTTGGCCGCAATGAACCTTTTGGTGATGCCACGCAATTTGCACCTGATGTCAACAGGATCCATGTTGCACCAAGTTGACAGAGGCAATTGCGAAATGCAAGTAATTTCTTGAAACTGAATAGGCAAAAGCTTGCAATCCGATACCTGTGTAAGCCAGGTGGGCGGCGCGAACTTGCCATTTATGCGAAAGGTGGGCCATTCAGCTGAAAGATCTTTGTCTTGAAGTTGACAGCTTTTGCCAGAAACTGCGTCAAGGAAGGCCTGCGGCGGAATACGAATGATTTGACAATTGACACCTTGTTCAATCACAGTTTGCGCTTGCAGAAGAGACAGATTTCTGCAAGTACCTTGCAAATCCCAGGCAGGAACGAAGAAGAGGTTGCTGGGAAATGTGAGATCAAAAGGAAAATTGTCAATCCATTTGTAAGGCTGAGGCTGAAAGTCAAGAAATTCTTGGAGTTGTTCACTGTGCATCCAACAAAGCTTGAGTAGCTTCATGGATAGCGTGCGAAATTTGTACAAAGCACGTCCAATAAAATCTGCTTGTTGAACAAAATTGGCTTTGTGTCCTCCAATACGCAGAAAAAGTAAAAATGCTTGCAACCAACACTGAATCGGTTCGGAATGAGGATGTTGCGTAGTAGTCCACTTTGCCCAGAAAGTGAAAACAAGGTTAAATTCAGCATCATCCCCTCCCCAACCCTGCATCTTGGATCGAGTGTTAGGCTTGTTCCATTTAAGGTCAAGAGGACAAACTTGCTTCAGAGCAGTTTGTCGACATGTAGTAGGCGCGTCTTGTGGATTTCCCACCATTAGAGACGGAGAGTCATTGGGCGCAAACCTGGAAACAAGGTCTTTGTTGCGCGAAAACTCCATCCATCTATTGATGAGTTGCGTGACCAACAGTTGTAAGTGGGGCCAC